ACCTCCAGTCTGGAGAGAGGCTGTGGGCCGAAGTTCTCCTCCTCCTCCTCTACCACCTCCGCCTCCACTCTGGCTTCACTCCTCATCGCCATGGTTGTAGGACAGTAACCTGACCAACAGATAATGGTTAGCTTTGTAGCATAGCAGCCAGTTTAACGTCAGGCTAACGGGCTAAAACTACTGGCTTAACTGGTGTTGCACAACATAATGTGTCCCAGTGCGGTCAGTGGACAGCTGACAGAGCCACCAGGCTCCCAGAAAACGGAGTAAATCCGCCTCAGAGGAACTATTTCCCCGCTTTAGCAGCATTAGCATGAGCTTTACCTTCTAAGGCTGGCTTTGGTCCTTAAAGTGGAGCTGGTTCATCCACCTCAAACCTTCACAGCTTTTAGCTGCAGACTTTCTGCTTGATGTCGGTTGGTTTCCTCAAAGCTCCCGCGCTCAAAACACCGACTGGGACGTAGTGACGTTTCACATCCGGGCTAGTGACGTAACCCGTTTTTATTATTTTACTGAAAATATCAAGATTAGCAGACAAACTTCTGATTTGCTGCCTTGTGGTTTGTGTAATTCTTTCAATAAAAAAAAAAGTTGGCAGACAAACATGGCTGCATAGAGTGAGTTTCCTCAAGCCAGGATACATAGAAAATATAGCAATAAATATACCCAACACTTAGACTTGACTATTAACTGAAACATTCCAGTACATAAACCAAATAAATAAACAAACAGAATGATAAGAATAATTATAAAATGAAAACAATTATATTAAATAAAATTATAAGAAAGTGTAACATGAGGACAGAATTCAGTCTTTGTTTAGCTGTTTACTTCTGCTGGAACGTGTTTTAGGATATATATTTTTAATGCTTTAGGATTTTTCAGAATCTTTAATGATTTTATATAAAGCTTAAAGTCATTTTAAAAAACAAGTTTGGAAGATGATTTAGCAATTCTATATTTATGAATGAAAAACGCTGCTAGACATACAATTGTATTAGTGCAGAGCTCATCAGCCATACTTTGCAATATTAGACCAAAAGTGACATCATCTCTGGAGATAAAGGTTGGGATGACAAGAGTCCTGTCTGGCAATTCAGTTTATTTATTTCTATAGCGCCAATTCCCAACACATGTCAATCTAAAGCAATCCCTCACACTAAGCATGCTTGTAGCAACAGTGGAGAGGAAAAACTCCCTTTGAACAGGAAGAAACCTCCAGCAGAACCAGGCTCAGTGTGAGCGGCCATCTGCTGAGGCCCACTGGGGTTCAAGGAGACAGAAGCAGACATAGAAAAAGAAGCATAGATACAAAAGGCAACTGTAAAAGGCGGCCCCGTCCAGGAAACACACAGCCAGGCAGACGAGCTCTGAGCCAGCTCCCATGCCAGAGGATGAAGAGAGCACATCCAGTTAGTCACAGTCAGAGAAACAGGACTACACTGGAAAACAGGCCGATCTCCAACATCTAGAAACAAAGGTGTTGATGGCAGCAGCGCAGCTGATATTTCTCTCCAGGATGGAGTCACAGCCAAACAGGAACAGACCAGATGAAGCTACTATGAGAAAAAGCAGAGAGAGCAGAATGTTAGAGATTGAACTAACAGATTCTGCAGAGTGGGAGAATAGAGATAGAATGATGAAAAAGGGGTCCCTATGTCCTCCAGCAGTCTAAGCCTATAGCAGCATAACTATAGAGATAGCTCAGGATAACCTGAGCCACTCTAACTAGAAGCTTTATCAAAAAGGAAAGTTTTAAGCCTAGCCTTAAAAGTAGACAGGGTGTCTGCCTCACGGACTAAAACTGGTAGTTGGTTCCACAGGAGAGGAGCCTGAGAACTAAAAGATCTGCTTCCCATTCTACTTTTAGAAATTCTAGGAACCACTAGTAAACCTGCAGATTGAGAGCGAAGTGCTCTGTTAGGAACATAAGGAACAATATGGCAATAAGAATAATTGTCTTGATGCCAAAAAGAGCCCAACAGGTTTTGCTTTCACAAGTGGAGCAGTACGGCTATCGCCATAGTGTTCCGCTTGATTTATGCATATAAATAGCTTTATTATAATTCATGCAGAAGTATTACAGATTATATGGACACTGCAATGTAAGTAGAACAGGAAAGGAAAAACAGAAAAGATGAAAGAAAGAGGAGATAAAAGGGAGATAACGATAAAACATTGTGATGGAGCGCCACTAAGCGTCCATCCCAGACTCTAAGTATCCGTGCTTCCTCTGGCCCAGGGGAGCGCGGTGCCAGGAGCGCGCGCACGGGGGAGAAAGCCCTCCCACGTGAGTGCGCTGCCCGGCAAACGAACCCGTGACAAACATCTTCAGTCTGCTTCATCACCTGCAAAGAGATGTGAAAAGAACAGTACAACCAACGGACATAGTATAGGAGATACAATAAAGTAACACCTAGATACTATCGCTGGAGTATAAGTAGTATTATTTAATCTGACATGTATACTGTATAAAATTTGTTTTTATTATTTATGGTAAATAAATTCACACCTCCAAATATTTATAACAAAAAACACATTTCCAGATTTGATCATCTTCTGTTAATATCTATATAGAGTCCTTAAAGAACTGCAACCCTCGAACACAGATTTGAATTTGATATTATAAAATAATTGCTCTATATTCTGTAAAGCCCTTTGATGTGGCATCTGTGTGTAAATTATGTTCTTGTAAGTTCTTTGTTTGCAATAAGCTGTTTCTGAACCTGCTGGTCCTGCATTGAATGCTGTGAAGTCTCTTCCCAGAGGGCAGCAGGGAGAACAGTCCATGGTGGGGGGGTGAGGGGTCATTGATGATGTCACAGGCTCGGGACACGCAGCGCTGGAATGATATGTCTTTAACCTCTTAAAACCTACCTGACTTAAGTAATCCCAAAGCAAGTAGGTAAGCCCAACTAACATGACTGATACATCATTTAAAAGCTAACACTTTCTATGTTAGTTGAAACATTAATGAAAATAGTGTGACAAAGGCGCAGTTTAAGCTGAATCAGTTCAAACATGACTTAAACTTGTTTTTCATTCTCTAAAGTTATAGGTCTTTTTTGATCAGCAGTAATTAAGACGTGCTTGTGAATAGACATGTCTCATTGTTTTACGTTTGTTCTACATCATGTCAACCACAAATGCAGAAACTTTCAGACTTCTACCTACAACAGTTCCAGAGCTGTGGGACTTTGAACTTTTGGTGTCACCAGCGTCTCCAAACCTATCCAAATGTGCAAATTGTGCCCTTTGACCCACAGAATAATATATATATATATATATATATATATATATATATAAAATATGTAGGGGAAGTGATAGCCATGCCAGTCCAGGGATGATATGACTGTCAAAGTCAATGACCGGTGTGCCTGACATGCAACAACCAGACCATGCATATTATTTTAGGTTAAAGCTACAGTGTGTAATTTTCAGCGACATCTAACGTCCAGACTGCAGACCGCAGCAACATGAACATCTCCCCCCCACCGCTTCTCCCCCCAACAGTACGACGAGCGTTACGGGACAAAATGTCTTCCCCGACGTCCTCATCACCTACCTTCTCAAGTGATGAGGTTTGTTTACATAGATAATTTTACAGATAGTATTTCATTAGTCTGTGTGTTCAGTACCGTCTCAGTTCATCTGTCTCAACTTGCCGTAGTTACTTTCGAGCGTAATGGGCGATCTCGCAATCGCTAGTTTGTTGGCTCTGCGCTGCCGTAGCGCAAAGATGTCTGCCTCCATGGCTGCGAGACCCGCTCCTATGTAATTATAAATAACGAATTCTAAGGCAACGCAAATATTAAGGTTAAGAGGCTGAGCTCGTAGATGATGATAAATAACATAGTTATGTATAATATATTACATTTCTGACTGTATATCCCTGTAATTATAACACACTGTAGCTTTAATTTGACGTTGAATGATGTAACCTAAGTTTAATCTTAACCCATTTTATTGGATGTGTATTGCAATCTTTACTCATTTAAGCTGTAAGTATTCAATACAGCTTTTAGGCCTGCATTGATCTGTTTTTCTAACTAAAGGTAAAGTTCAGGATGTTTTTCCACATGGATCATCAAAATCTGTCGTCCCCCTGTCAACCATTCTGGTGATATGGCGACATCCTTCGTGCTCATCTCCATTATTTCTTACAGGTGGTGAGTCTGACATAGTGGAAAAACAGCTAATCATCTTTCTATAAGTTAGCTTGTATGAGGGATGCAAATAGAAACTTTTAAACAGATTGTACACAAGGAGAAATAGGCTTGTGCACGCTCACACGCATTTAATAGGTGTTCCCTCTAGGCTTCTGCATTTTTTTAGAGAGGGCGTGTCTTTTCAAATTTCAAGAAAATCCTCATTTACCTAATGAAATAGTTAAACCTGATCCTTTTTCACACATTTTTCTATTTAATTATCAAACTGTCAAAAAGGAGACCATGGAGTTTCAATTTAATTTATTCATATGCTCTTCAAGAGACTCAAAAACTGATTCAAACTGTTGCATAAATTCAAAGCAGGTCTCAGTAATAAAACTAAGCATGAAATTAGTTGTATTGTTTAAACTGGGTAAGAAAGGTCTAAATAAAGTGAGCAGACTGCATCTAGTGAGCGACTTGCTGCAGTCGCTTGTTGCAGAGCACATAGCAGCAGTGGATAAGCACTTAAACAAAAGTTCTCTTTATTGCTAAGAATAGTAAAAACGTAATGGCAGCCTGAGCTGGGATAAGACACAAAGCGGAAAAGAAACGGAGCCATTTATAACATCTAGGCCATAGAAATCATTTCTGTAGAACAAGATCCCAGATTTTCTCCATGATGTCGTCTAATTTTGAGACTAAATTTTAAAACTGCAAAAAAAAACTAAACTTAAACTGTTGAATTGGTGGAACTATGAACACGTTTTCTACTGAACTGAACAAGTATGGCTGCTTAGTCACAGCGGATCATTCTTCCTTAAGGCTGGGTTTTCAGAAATGACTCAAAGCTGCTAGTTAGCATTTTTATTAACAATTAAACATTAAAAGACATTAGGAAGTGTAGTTTTAGACTGACTACTGCACCCCGCAGTAGTCTTCCTCCTTGAGTTTGTAGCGCCATGAATCGGTTTCAGCTCCTGCATCTGCAAAGATGGAGAAAATACTTTCACGTGATTGAACCGTAGACGTCACTGAAGGTTAAAGAAAACAGCAAACCCCCAAATCCATCCAACAATCCCAGACAGATGTTCTAACCTTCATTCAGTAGACCAGTCTGCATAGAATGTCAACATTTTATAATACAATCTCATTTAAAAAGAAATCAGGGGAAATTCCTGGGTTTTAGATAGAACATATAAAACCTTTAGCTTCACTACATCTAAACTATTGCAGAGTGTTTCCTCTTTGGAGTTGATAAAACAAAGTGGATCAACAGGCAGCAGACTGGAAACGTCACACAGGACTTTATGCAGCTTTTCCAGGATCTGTGGTGTTGATTTCCAGAACTGACTTTTGTTTAACATGAGTTTCAAAGAGTCGGGTGGATTCTGTCAAGTCAGCAGTTTCCTGCAGATCAAAGCTTAATCTGCCTCATAGAAAATCCCAGCAAACAGAAAGCAATGGAAGTCCCAACATTCAATGAACAAAAGTTCCCCTGGTTTCATGATGGGTCCTTGATTGGTTCCCATTAAGGTTCCTGTCACACCGTGCTGATTTATCCAGCGTCTGTCTGATGTCCCAGAATCTCCTAAAACGCTGCCATACGCTGAACTTTCCATGGATTTTTTCTATTTAGGGCGTATACATGGAGTATTTATAATGAGTCCAGAACTCCTGTCCAACGACAGCCTAACTTCAGCATAACGACCATGAAATGATGCACAAGCCAGTGTCCTGACTCCTGAGGGGGGCAGCCATGCACCCGGAGAAAAAAAACTTATTTGATCTCAGTATTAACCTAGCTGCTGTTTACTGGCCGCCAAAAAAAAAAAAAGAAGAAAAAATTTAAATAAAGATGCTGGTGGTGGGCGTGAACGTAGGGAGGATCCATCACCCTCCCCTTCTGGCTCACCCTATGATGGGGATGAAGTCTGGAGGAGAACTGACGGTTTCCTCCTGTGAACCCCCTTTATACCAAAATGCTGCCAATACGCCATTATACAGCAGCTGGAAGTTAGAAACACGATCAGCGCTCGTCTGGAACACGTCAGATACCTTGATATGCTTGGAGAGAAGTTCTGGATAAGTTACTCAGAGGTTTAGGATCAGCTAGACGCCACGACTGATGAGGAACTGACACTGAACGGATGACGACCATCAGATAACTGACCTGGAACTGAATGCCCATGTATGGGTTACGCTGGTATACGACATGTCGACGTGTTTACCAGCGTATTCCAGCTTTATTGGCAGATTTTCATACATCAGGCATATGCTGGTCTAAATCGTCAAGGTGTGACAGGAGCTTTAGTGTAAAGCAGCTGCAATGCCTATGGGTGAAGTTATAGTAAGAATAGACACTCCCAGCAGGAGGTGGGGGGGGCAGGGCTGGCTTTTGGCCTGAAGGGGAACTTTTAAACCACTACCACTGCGTGTGTGCATATATATATATTTATATATCAGGGGTGGAACGGTTCACAAAATCCACGGTTCGGTTCAGTTCAGTTCACGGTTTCATGGTCACAGTTTTCAGTTCGGTTCAGTATATGTTAACTGTTACACCGAAATCCCATAAAAATTTATGAAATTTATGAAAAAATCCAAAAAGAATAATGAATTGTAATTATTTTTAATGATCCGCGGAAACCCTGGATCATTTCCACATGTTTTGCTGCTTTGAATTTAATCATCTTGCGCATGCCCTCTACCATTTCCAAGGAACTCAGAGCGGAGCGGACGGGAGCCTCAGTGGAGGCTGTATGCTTTGCTTTGTGCAGCCGGTCTGGAGCGATGACGCAGTATGTGGGATTTCAGGGTTAGCCTGACATGTTGGTCGTGTTGCTGTTAGCATAAACAAAACGTGTTGCACAATGCTTGCACACTGTTGCACTTTTATGCACAGCTTTCTTTCCGCTGTCATCGTAGGTCTAAATGCAAAGTGGTCCCATACAGCAGACCTATAAAGTGCTGCTGGCGCGTCTTCCAACTCCTGTTCTTTCCCACTCGCCATTCCAACACAATTCTCCACAACTACTGATTTTTTTCTGCTACACCCGGCAACGCTGCTTCGCTTCTTCTTCTTCTTGTTTACTACTGGTGGTTGGCTTTGGTCGCAGTACCGCCACCTTCTGCTCTGGAGTGTAAACACTTCGCCTATGAGAAAAAGAGCAGCGCATGAACTGAACGCAACACACGCGAACCGAACCGAGACAGTCGAACTGAACGGTTCGCATAAACCGTTCCATTCCTAATATATATATATATGTGTGTGTGTGTGTGTGCTCATCCAAATAAAGTGGTGCAGGGTTAAAGAAAGCAGAAGCATCCATTTTTCTGCACCACACAGTGAAAGTGACAAAGTGTGACTCCCCAGCAAACATTACTGCAGCTTTACCTTCATCGCTCTCGGTAGGAACCTGGGGGGATTCTGATAAAACAAACAGCCCACATGCATGTTAGGAGGTTCAGGAGTTGAGCAGCAGCTGCAGACCGGCCACAAGGTGTAACATACCTGGCTGGATTCCCAGGTCAGAGTTGTCAAAGAACTGCTTTGGGCAGGTTTTAGACAGCAGCTCTGTGGTTCCACTTCCGTCAAAGAAGCTGCTTTTTGGAGAATCCAGCAGCACGTTTGAAGGCAGCAGCGGAGCTTTCCCTGGAGACCCCACTGCCTTCAGAGGCAAGTCCAGAAATTTCTTGGCAGGAAGACAACTTTTCTTAGGTGAGCTAAAAACCAAGGCAGAGTCTGTGGTCGTAGGGAGGTCCCTCTTCTTAGGGGTACAGGTGGAGGGTTGCTTGTCTGGCTCCGCTTTACTCTTCCCTTTGAGACTGATGGCTCTGTTCTTCCACTTATTAGTCTCAGCCTGCAGGCTGCAAACCAAGCTGATGAGAGAAAACACAGGCCTGAACTTTCCCACTAACAGAAACTACACAGTATTATCTTAGAGTTCAGCTCAGATGGTGTCAAATTACATCAAGGAATTTATATAAAATAAGCCGATTTACTTAATTCCAAAATCTGATGTCATCCTTCAACAGAACACATTTCAATCACAGAACAGAAACTGGGTATGTTTTGGCATTGAATAAAGCCGGGCAAACACTAAGGCCCCCGTCCACACGAAGTCAAAACGAACACAAAACGCTGATATTTTCCAGAACGTTTGTAGTAAAGACGGAGATGTAAATTAAACACGAATGCATGAAAACACTGCAAAATGTATGCCAGGCCTGTAAGTGGCGCTGGGGTGCCAAAGCAAAAATAGGCGAAAACAGGCAACGAAATGTTGGGCATGCGCAGTAATATTTATACAACAACCAAACCGGAAAACCACAAAAATGGACCCGCAGGTGCTGAACTATGTCGTGGATATTGCTCTGTTCTTCCTGGAGATATTCCAGAAGAAGAAGATTCTGTTGTAAGCCCGACAGCAGGGTGAGTAGCATGAGCAGCAACCATTCAACACAGTACGGCGCCATTGTTGTTTTGATACTGTGTCGCGCATGCGTGTTTAGAGGCGACGCTATGACGCATGCGTGTAAAAAAAAAAAATGCGGTCAGAGCTTAAAGATGGAAACGCGACAACGGCGTTTCAAAATCTTCCCACTCTGAAGGCTGAATAAAAAAAAAGATCGTTTACAGACCCTGAAACACCGGCTTTGTATGGATGAGAGGCTGGTTTGGTGAAAAATGTGTGCGTTTAGGCCAGGGTTTGACTTCGTGTGGACGGGGCCTAAGGTTTTAGTTGTAGCACTCAGCTACAGCTCACACTGTACCATGAAACCACAGGGATTAAAAGTTCACAGCTCAGTGTTTGTTCTCACACTGTGCGACCCGACGCTCTGATACGATCTACCTGCTCCCACTGCACGTCTAATAACCAGGTGGACTCAGCTCCGCAGTGAGATGGAGCTACTCTGACTCGTCTATCCAGAAGCCAAACGAGTAGAAGAGGAACATGAAGCTCACTAGAGTGAAACGCGCTGCCTTGGCAATTTGTGCAATTTTGTGCTGAAAGCCCTAAAAAGAAAAGGTGACCACGTATTTGGACAAAGACATGGCTGAGCAAACGTGGCTACTACGGTCTGTAGATTTTACAGAAAGAACTCCATTTCCCTCATTGCACCCCCGCCATGCTGCTGGGTTTACATCTGAGAGGAAGAAGAATCCCCGTTTGCCCAGTGAGAGATTTTCTCCTGACCTTACAAATCCTGATGGGGAGGTGGTCGCTTCGTTACCCCCTGTAAACTACACCACGCACCATCAGGCTAAAAGTCGGCCCAATCGAAAAATTCTCGCACCACCGGAGAGTCGGCCCAAAACAGGCCCAAAAAAACAAATGGTAGTGTATGCCGGCTTTATCAAAGCATGTTTTCAGAATGAAGTCTGAATGAATCTACCTTTCCAGCTCTGGGATCCTCAGCTGAAGCCGTTTGACGTCTTCTTCCAGCTTGGTCTTTTCCAGCAGAATGCTGCTGTGGATCATGGTTCCTCTGGGGTTGGTGAGCCGAGCATGAAGCTCCTTACCTGTCAGGACTTCACATGGAAACCAGAGACTGTTAACGTGAACGGAAGGATGGAAGGTCTGCTTCAATGTCAACAAGAACTCAGTGAAATTATTCTGCAGGTCAAGATAAACTTATTGTGTGTTATAAATGATAAGAAAAGGTCTATGTGGGGCTATGTGAAAAATGTTGTCCTCTTTTTTTTTTTTTATAGATTTAGGTTTTTAAAGCTAAGAACTAATGAAGGAAAAACTCAGACCACCAGGACGTCGCTAACAGCTGCTACTAAACACAGCAAAGCTCACTTAGAAATGGAGCTCCATCCCAGTTTTTTCTAATTAAATTATGTAAGGGTTGCAAGATAGACGCTCCATCAAAGCAAGGCCCTCTATCGACCGCCCACTAAGAGTAATGCCCTCTGTAGACCACCCTTTAAAAGCAACAACGTCTATAGGCCGCCCTATAAGAGCAGCACCATCTATAGACCGCCCTATAAGAGCAATGATCTCTATAGAACGCACTATTAGAGCAACACCCTCTGTAGCACGCCCTATAAGACAACGGCCTCTATAGACCGCCCTATAAGAGCAAAGCCCTCTACAGACCGCCCTATAAGAGCAACGCCCTGTACAGACCGCCCTATAAGAGCAACGCCCTATATAGACCACCCTGTAAGAGCAATTAAATCTATAGATCGCACTATAAGAGCAACGCCCTCTATAGACCGCCCTATAAGAGCAACGCCCTCTGTACACCGCCCTATATAGACCGCGCTATAAGAGCAAGGCCCTCTACAGACTGCCCTATAAGAGCAACGCCCTGTACAGACCGCCCTATAAGAGCAACGCCCTATATAGACCACCCTGTAAGAGCAATTAAATCTATAGATCGCACTATAAGAGCAACGCCCTCTATAGACCGCACTATAAGAGCAACGCCCTATATAGACCGCGCTATAAGAGCAAGGCCCTCTACAGACTGCCCTATAAGAGCAACGCCCTCTACAGACCGCCCTATAAGAGCAACGCCCTCTACAGACCGCCCTATAAGAGGAACGCCCTCTATAGACCGCCCTATAAGAGCAACGCCCTCTACAGACCGCCCTATAAGAGCAACGCCCTCTATAGACCGCCCTATAAGAGCAACGCCCTCTACAGACCGCCTTATAAGAGCAACGCCCTCTACAGACCGCCCTATAAGAGCAACGCCCTCTATAGACCTCCCTATAAGAGCAATTAAATCTATAGACCGCGCTATAAGAGCAATTAAATCTATAGACCGCGCTATAAGAGCAACGCCCTCTACAGACCGCCCTATAAGAGCAACGCCCTCTACAGACCGCCCTATAAGAGCAACGCCCTCTACAGACTGCCCTATAAGAGCAACGCCCTCTATAGACCTCCCTATAAGAGCAATTAAATCTACAGACCACGCTATAAGAGCAACGCCCTCTATAGACCGCCCTATAAGAGCAACGCCTTCTACAGACCGCCCTATAAGAGCATCGCCCTCTATAGACTGCCCTATAAGAGCATCGCCCTCTATAGACTGCCCTATAAGAGCATCGCCCTCTATAGACTGCCCTATAAGAGCATCGCCCTCTATAGACTGCCCTATAAGAGCAACGCCCTCTACAGACTGCCCTATAAGAGCATCGCCCTCTACAGACCGCCCTATAAGAGCATCGCCCTCTACAGACCGCCCTATAAGAGCAACGCCCTCTACAGACCGCCCTATAAGAGCAACGCCCTATATAGACCACCCTGTAAGAGCAATGAAATCTATAGACCGCCCTATAAGAGCATCGCCCTCTACAGACCACCCTATAAGAGCAACGCCCTCTACAGACCGCCCTATAAGAGCAACGCCCTATATAGACCACCCTGTAAGAACAATGAAATCTATAGACCGCACTATAAGAGCAACGCCCTCTACAGACCGCCCTATAAGAGCAACGCCCTCTACAGACCGCCCTATAAGAGCAACGCCCTATATAGACCACCCTGTAAGAGCAATGAAATCTATAGACCGCCCTATAAGAGCATCGCCCTCTACAGACCACCCTATAAGAGCAACGCCCTCTACAGACCGCCCTATAAGAGCAACGCCCTATATAGACCACCCTGTAAGAACAATGAAATCTATAGACCGCACTATAAGAGCAACGCCCTCTATAGACCGCCCTATAAGAGCAACGCCTTCTACAGACCGCCCTATAAGAGCATCGCCCTCTACAGACTGCCCTATAAGAGCAACGCCCTCTACAGACTGCCCTATAAGAGCATCGCCCTCTATAGACTGCCCTATAAGAGCAACGCCCTCTGTACACCGCCCTATATAGACCGCGCTATAAGAGCAAGGCCCTCTATAGACCGCCCTATAAGAGCAAGGCCCCCTACAGACCGCCCTATAAGAGCAAGGCCCTCTACAGACTGCCCTATAAGAGCATCGCCCTCTATAGACTGCCCTATAAGAGCAACGCCCTCTGTACACCGCCCTATATAGACCGCGCTATAAGAGCAAGGCCCTCTATAGACCGCCCTATAAGAGCAAGGCCCCCTACAGACCGCCCTATAAGAGCAACGCCCTCTACAGACTGCCCTATAAGAGCATCGCCCTCTATAGACTGCCCTATAAGAGCAACGCCCTCTGTACACCGCCCTATATAGACCGCGCTATAAGAGCAAGGCCCTCTATAGACCGCCCTATAAGAGCAAGGCCCTCTATAGACCGCCCTATAAGAGCAAGGCCCCCTACAGACCGCCCTATAAGAGCAACGCGCTCCAATTATCATCTGGTGTGTGGTCACTGATAACCAGGGGAACTTACAGGACTCGTCGCCCTGCTGCTGTGATCTCAGGTCCTGCTTTAGCTTCCTCAGAGACTCTTCCTTTACTTTCAGCACCACCTGCATCTTCTGTAACCTGAAAGACAGCAATCTCTGATAAGTCCAGACAACATTGGGGCTGCAACTAACCATTACTTTGGAAATTGATTCATTTGTTGATTATTTTTTCCATTAATCGATTATTAATTAGATAGCAAAAGGAAGCTTTTTTTAACTAAACTAAACTAAAAAACTTTTCCACTTGAGGTGTCCTGGATTATAGAGCAGCTTGACAGATGAAAAAGATAAATGACCTCCTGAGATTCTCCTCCAACCAGACTCTTGCTTGGACAGGAAGATTGTGTAGGAACTGAGCCTTGGATGACGTAGTGAACCTAGTGGTCATCCAGGGAGTCACAGACGTTTAACCGCAACAACAGTGTAGGCTCTAAGGGAACATTCAGCCTCTGCTTTCATCTAGGATTCAAAGAACCAGAACTTTTGTTTCCTGCTATAGACAAAGTTCCAAGAAGCCAATTAGAAGTTTTAAACCAGAACTGAAGCGATTAATCATTCAGTAAAATAATCAACTCATTCAGAAATTAATCATTAACTGTAAAACATGCCTTCAGCTAACAGAGCCACTCACTTAGAGCAGCAATTATACCAAGGGTGTAAAAAATAAACATTTTGAATTTAAGATAAAAAATAACATTTCTGTCTGTCAATCTGCTCTATCCAGAAATCCTAAAGTGGAAAAGTTTTAGTTTCACCTGGTTTATTTTCATTAGAGTCTCTTGCTATATAATTATTAATTGATTGAAGACTAGCCAATGAAAAGAAGCGAGGCGATCAGTAGTTAAATACGTACTCTTGCTGGTGTTCTTCAGTGGCTGAGGCCATCTTCAGCTCCATGTCAAACAGCTTGCTCCGCAGGTTCTCCAGCTCAGCTGCACTGGGCGACGCTTTCTTCTAAACAAGGAGGACAACCGACACTTTTAGCAAAGCAAACCTATAGAATATATTAAAGAGGTCTATTTAGTTTAGAGACATACTTCAGACTCTTGTAGTTTGTCCTTTAGCTTCAGGATTGTGTTTTCCTTTTCCAGTAAAGCTGCCCGGGTGTCCTGCAGTTCAGTCTGTAGGAGCTGAATGGCCTGTTTCTGGTTGGACTCAGTGTTTCTGGGTTTAGTGTTAGACTCTTCCTCCAGCTTTCCCACTTGTTCAGGAAGAGCCTGAAAAGCAGAATGATGGCAACTCAATTAAAAATACTTATTAAGTCATCCTGCAACACAGCCATTCATTCAATTCTAAAAATACTTTATTATTCTAAAAACATTACAGTAAATCAGAATTATTTTTTAATTCAGGTGTTGATACAGTAGCAGCTATTCAATATGGCTTCCCAGTCAAACACCAGCCGAATGGCAGCCAGCTTTCAGCCAGTGGAATGATCCCCTCTAGCATATGTTTTCACTCTGACTCCACCCTCTCACTGAATTACAGGCTCTGACCTGGAGATGGCCCTTCTCTTTAGATCTTAATGTCCACAAATCATGACAGAAAGAATATTTTAGTACAAATACTGATGTTTAAAGATCAATCCTAGGGGACATGCCTACAGCTACTGCTGTTGTTGAGTGGAGTTTCCATGGTAGCCTAGTCCTACAATCTTTTAATTACCACAAGCTGGTGGTGGACTATTCCCACCCAAATAGGGTATTCTATTTATTTATTTGTTATATTTATTTTGGTCACTTTTCTGGTCACTTTAGTTTATTCTTTGTCAGTATTTAATAACATAACTCAGGTCTCTTAAGTTTAAAACAATTCTGTTATGGTTAAAAAAGTTGGTTAAATAAATATTTAATTGGAAGTCTTTGTTTGTGTTCTTTATTAAAATTAAATCATTTAGCAATATCATAAAAAGTCCAGGCAGAGCTGCACATAAAATATGGTTTCAAATCTTTTCAATAATTATCGATATCGATCAATATGCATTTTTTTTATCAATAAGCTTTTTTTCTATATCGTCCAGCCATATTTCACACATTCTAGCTTAGTACACTTACTATTTTTAGAGAGAAAAAGCTTAATTTAGGTTATCTTTACAAAGTAAAATCAGGTGCGTTGCTGATGTCTATCTGATAGGATGGATCGGGGAGTGACTGACATTAAAAGAATGAGGCGGTAGTAGACAGGAGCAGCTAGCGGCTAATAAATGTGACTTACTGTGGACAGCTGTGTTATCAGGGACCTGGTGTTGGTTTGGTGCAGCTCCTTCAGCAGAGCTGAATTTCTCTCTCCCTCTTCTCTAAGCTGAACATCCCTCTCTGCATCCAGCTGCTTCAGCTCTGTTAGGTTCTGATTCTGCTCATCACTGATGGACTACCAGAGAAAGAAAGAAGAAAACTTTAAAAACTGCTGACAAACTTATTCACATTACAGAATGCTAACTGCAGGACAGATTTGCATCCAAGTCATTCATAAAGTGCACCTGTAGAAGCATCTTGACGTTTTGGTGACTGGAGCGTCTACGTTCAGCTTCCTGGATGAGAACACGCTCCAGCTCACTGAGAACAGGCGGAGTGACGGCCGCCTGAAGCGCCTCATTAAATCTGATCCTCTCCTGGGTTTCAGCGCTCAGCACCGAGAGAAATGAGGTCAGCTTGGCCCAGAGCGCCTCAGAAATACTCGCCATTTTCTAAAAAGAAGGGAGGAAAAGATGCAGAGTTTTGATTAACTCGTTATTCTTCAACCGAAGACTGCCGTCTATATTAGGTAAAGGAAAAGTCCGCTCATATTCAGAATTTAAACTTCTGAAAGTTCTTTAAATATGAAATTATTCCATCCTGTTCAATAAATGATCAGTGTTTTCAGAGTAATTTTCATGTGAATGTGTTTTACTGGAGGCATCCATGTCTGTCAAAGAACACTACTGCCACCTACTGGTTTGTGACGTCACTTTTTTTTACTTATTAACGCTAAATGTATTAAATCCCCTCAAACGTATCAGTTTTCGGTATAATTAATGATCCATTGATAATTCCTTGATGACCGGACTTCTCCTTTAAATATGTTGATCTATCTAGACCATTTTTCTTTCAGCCTCAATCCTGAACATTAAAGATGAATCCAGATGAGTTCACCTCCCGCCTCGTCTATACTGGAACACATCTGTTTGCCTATCTAGTGTTTTTACTCATTTCCTCTGCTGAAATTTCCAAGAGGGCGTTCCCTCTTTCTGACCATCCTAAGGAGTCTAGAGAGGAAAGAATCCCAGAAACTGATCTGATTTAAAAAGCCAAGCTGCATAATGCTGTTAATCAAAGCTCAATGCAGGAGCTGAAAATAAAAAATTCCCCCCGTCTGTCTAACTATTGGCATCTCTATCTAAATAGATACATTCAATCACAATTTTTTCAACATTAAAGTTGTGTGTTAAAGGGTAAAAAAAGATAAAATAGGAAAAAATTCAAATAAATTGGATATGAATCTGTCTGTGACAGAAATGGCCGTCACAGAGAACACCTCGGGCTTCATAAACAGTCTACCTTTGGAGCAGGCCGTACCTGTTTGTAGAGCTGATGTCGTTCCAGGAGCTCAGCGAGTCTCTGGTTCCACAGCGGGTGGAATTCCTCGTAATTGTCGGAGTTTCTGGGATTATGAACTTTGGAAAGCAGCAAGTCATGAATCCGTCTTTCCTCAAAAATGTCCAGGTCTTTGTCCACCACTGCCCCAAGCACACTCACATAGCCAGACACGTGCGCTCTGAGGAGTTCCTGCCAGCAGAAGGATTACAGTCACCTTTAGAGTTTGGCTAAAAAGAACAAAGATGGAGAATAAATAGAACATGTACCATAATGGTGATGAAACTGTGAGAAGTCTGACATCCCAGCAGACAAACGTCACCGTAGGAATCCAGTGCAGATTTGGACACATTGTTCAGGTAAGACTGTAAGGAGCAATGTGACCTCAGAACCTCCACCAGGCCTTCAGAGTCATACTTCAAGCATGTCTCTGTAAACGTTCCAATGGATCCCTAAAACACATTAAGGTTTGACAAAGTTATAAAAAAGGACTGTTTCATGCCAAGAAGCAAAGCGTAGTACAGCTTTAAATGGATAACATTAAAATGTGCTTTAAAAAGAGGCAGTTATTGGAGTCCTCCTGACTGCAGTGGGTCTCTGCTCCAAGTCGTTAAGCTGCTTTCTCACCCTTCAGATTTCACATCCTCCGTTAGCGCCCCGCCCCCCAACACGCACGCCATGCGGAGTACTTGTCTGTCATGTTAATCAAAGAGGACTGCACTACTCCTTTCGCACGTCACCGTCCACATACATCTTCTCCCTCTGTCACCATCAAAATACCGAGCTGAGCTATTTTCTGCTCCGCTCCAGCCAGGTCAAGATCCACTATTGCAATCGCACCAAACAGGATAAAGAATGTCGAGAAGATCCAGTTTGTCGAATTAAATTATGGTAAAGAAGGATCGGTAACTACAAATTAGAGCATAATTCTTCTAGATTCCTAAAAACGGAGACGTTAAATTCAATGTTTGGATGCAAACTATTGGTTCTTCAACAAACCAGGAAGCAGATTTCTCATCTTCATCAAAATATTTATTTCATACCGAGAGGCTTAAGTTTCATCAAATCCAGTAAAAACAACTTCCAAGAGGGAATCTCACAACTTCCAAACAAACTTCTCTCCATGGATGAAGAGATGCTGAGTTTGGGAGCAGAGAACATGGATGATCCTAGTTATCTACGTTATAAAAATCCACAACAAAAAGAAAATATTTGGGCAGAAACTGAACATCTGCTGGATGCCAATGGGGATTTTTAAAATTTTTATGTCATATTAAATTAAGTGTTCCTTTCCGCAAGTTTTGCTCCTATGAATTTAACAATAATATAGCGCATCCTCTCCTCGAGCTCCGAGGAAGTCACAGCGGAGCAAGACGGGAGGAAGAGCGGAGGCTGTAGGCTTTGCTTTGCACAGGCGGTCTGGATCGCAGCGGGGCGGAGTGGAGGATGTGGGATTTCGGTTTCAGGGAGGAGAGGGAAGCATCAGCCTCATTTAGCAACTAAAAAAAGGTCCACAGAAGCGGTTGACAGCTGATATGCTGCCATGCTTCATTTCTAGTTAACAGATTTGCACCATCAAGTTCCCAGAAAACATTTTTTTTAAATATATTAAAATTACAACTCGTATTATGTGGAAATTAACCATGCAGTAAAATAAAAAAATAATTTCATCAGTTCTTTTGATGTTGGACCAACCTGCTGGGAGGCTTCAGCTTTGCCCTCCTGCTGCTCCTGCAGCTCCTTCTGGAGGGACTGCAACTGAGAGCAGAAAGAGAGTCAGCGCAGCCATGAAGCATTATTACCCTGAAGAATCAATACTTTATTCCTCTTTTCTATTCAAACTACAAAAACATCAACAAGCTTTGTTTCACTATAAGATCATAGATTAGTAATTTTGTGGGTTTGTTTCTGTACAGATGTGGCTTTTATTTCCTGCGTTAACTAGTAACTGGTTGAATTACTTGTTGCTGAAATCTGGCCTCTTGTTGGTCTTTCTCTGTTTGCTTCTGCGCAGTCAGCAGCTCCTGCTGGGTGAGCTTCTCCTGGACGGCTGACATCTACAAACAGATGCAGCTACTGAGTTATTGGGTTTTCTCTGATGGATGTCCTTAGATCAGTAGCTTTAGTACCATGTGGATGTTTTCCTGCAGCTTTGCTCCAAGCTGCTCCTTCTCCTCCCTCAGCTCCAGCAGGACGTCCTGCAGCTGCTCTCCTTCCTGACGGACAGCAGCCAGGCTAGACTGCAGCTTCTCCACCTCCTCTTTGTGCTTCTGAAGAGTAATCTCTTTTTCAGACTCTAGAGAGTTTCTCTGAGCTTCAATGATTTCTAACTGTTGAGCCAAATCCATTATCTGAAGAAAAAAAACAACATGAATGAATAATATTTAGCAGAGATTTAGATCTCCGGAGAAGAAAGAAAAAACTAATGAAACCTTTTGGTCCAAAGAGCAAATCTTTTCTTCACTGGTGTTCTTCAGCTCAGAGTTTAGGTTCATTTGTTCAACCAGGTCGTCTCTGGCTGCCTTCAGAAGCTCTTCTGTAGATGACGCCTTAAAGAAAAATAATCAATCATAAAACCTAGAGAAGCAAAGAATGTCATTTATAGAATTAACTCCATATTCAGGTGAAATCACCTTTTCTAGCAGGTGCTGTAGCTCCTCCTCCAACTGCCTCTTCTGCTCAGTGACGGTCAGTACAGATCTGTTCAGCTCCCCAATCTGCTCATGCAGATTAAATATGTCAACCAAACAATAATGACATCGTTTTACAGAGTTAAGTTGTCTACATGCACCATGAGTAGCCTTAAATATCAATGTTTTTAGTCATCAGATGAGAAGATGAAGCAAAAAACCTCCAGAACAGAGCGTGATCTTTTCTAGAGCTAATCTGACACCGATTTTAGAAAAAAACCAAGGACAAGATTATAAACCGTTTATCCTATTATTTAATATTGATCCTTCCAAACCTCAGCTTCCAATGCTTCAGTTCGTCTCTGCAGCTGTGCTCCACGCTCCTGGCTCTCACTCAGCAGTCCCTCCAACTGATCCCGATCCTGACTGAGAGCCGTCAGTCGGCCCTTCAGCGTCTCCTGCTGCTCCGTCACAGCGGCCATCTCAGCCACCAGACGCTCTCTCTCCACTTTCAGACACTCCAGCTCCTTCGTTAAAAAGAGCAGAGGAAGAACATGTGTTTCTTTCTTCATAGATAAACGGATTTAGTTCATGAGCTGCTATAAAACATCCTCATCCATCAGAGTAATCCTCCAGAAAATATATGCAGTTCTACCTACTTCTCCTTCCAAGTAAGTTTAAAAACAATCCTCTGGACTTTGTTTACAAGTTGGAAGACGTTTCGCTTCCCTTCCAGCGAGCTTTTTCAATTCAAAAGGTCAGAAATGGGCTAAGTTCACACTGCAGCCTGCAGTCACCCAAATCTGATTTTTTTTTTACCCATATGCGACCTGGATCTGATGTTTTCATGGCAGTCTGAACAACACAGATCCAATTCTTTCCAGTGCGACCCAGGCCACTTGGCTCTGTGGTCCTGAAACCGATACGAATTGGATCTTTTCAAATGCTACCTGTGTGTGAATGGCCAGGTCGCATTCATCCGACCTGAATGCCATTAGTAACCGACAAAGGTCACTATTCTGCGTCTTGCTACGCAGAAGCAGCAAGAAAAACAACAACCATGGTGGACAATGATGCGGAGAGCAGTATTTATGTTTAGCCATATTGAAAAGATTGAGTTTTTATGGTTGGAAAAGACCATTAGTTGGACGCCGGTACTACCATCCATGTTTACTTCCGTAAACACAGAGCACGCTGGCCTGTGATGTCATTGCGTCCTCTAATGCGCATGCGGGACACTTGTGTTGTATGACTGCAGTTCACACAGGAGATCACATACAGGTCGCATATATTTGGAAATGTGAACAGCAAGGCAAAATAAAAAAACTGGATTTCAAAAAAAAAAAGGAATTGAGCATCAAGGCCTGTGGTGTGAACGCAGCCATAGTGTTGAGGTCGAGGCTTCATACAGTAGCCCAACAGCCAGGCCAACAATTCCCTCTAATGACCCCCTTTCAGAGACATAGACAGGTATGGGGCATTGCAGGCTAACAATGAAGCCAAACGACCCCCATTCCAAAGGAGTGGACCCGTTCATCCATTTCTATTAGCATGTTTTCTAAACTGAAACCAGGCTTTGTTGGGCTGCTGTATAAAGCCTGGATCTCAACGCTATTTCTGACATTTTGAATTGAAAAAGCTTCCTGGATGGAAGAGAAACGTCTTTAAACTTGGAAACAAAGTCCAGTGGATGTTTTTTTTACTATTTTGGAATGACTCTGACCTGGATGACTGAGAATCTTCCCCAGCATACCTGCTTCTCCATGTCTCTGCTGCTCTTCAGCTCCAACATCTGACTCTTTAGATCCATCATCTCCTCTTCCATTAGTTGGCTGCTCCGTCTTAACATGTTGACCTCTTCCTGCTTCTTTAGGATCTGAAAATATTAATTATGATGTTATAACAAAGGAAATATACAGTTCAATACTTTATCAATCTCAAGGTGAAACTCAGCTTCCTGCCTGTCCAAGAATACAAAAACAGAGAAAGACGAAGCACAGACATTATAAATAGGAAGTGTGGTCCGAAAATTTAGATTTCCCTTTTGTCATACATTGATTTATGCTACTTACTCAGACCGTTTCACCTGAACGGCCACACAATGCCTGGGTGAGGGGTGTTTGTAGACAAGACATACTTTCTCAAGGTTTATTCATATCATGTTACTGTTAACCAAAGTGTTTGTAATTTGTTTTTAACTCTGACCACTTTTCATTGTTGTAAGTAAGGTGGAATGAATGCTGCCCAGCAGAACAGGGCTGATTACCATGCGAGGGCCGTATGATGAACTGTTCTCTCTATGCAAAGATAAAATAAAGCGCAGACTGAGTGAAATCCATTGATCTCCGTTTATTTAACTGGGGTGTAGTTGAATCCTTTTTTTCCCCACGACCGGGACACTGTGTCCGAGGCCTGGTTACCATGAAAGGAACTGCCTTTCCATTTATGATTCTAGTTTTAGTCCGTGAGGCAGACACCCTGTCTACTTTTAAGGCTAGGCTTAAAACTTTCCTTTTTGATAAAAGCTTATAGCTTATGCTGCTATAGGCTTAAAATGCTGGAGGACATAGGGACCCCTTTTCATCATTCTATCTCTATCCTCCCACTCTGCAGAATCTGTTAGTTCAATCTCTAACGTTCTGCTCTCTCTGCTTTTTCTCATAGTAGCTTCATCTGGTCTGTTCCTGTTTGGCTGTGACTCCATCCTGGAGAGAAATATCAGCTGTGCTGCTGCCATCAACACCTTTGTTTCTAGATGTTGGAGCTTGGTCTGTTTTTCAGTGTAGTCCTGTTTCTCTGACTGTGACTAACTGGATGTGCTCTCTTCATCCTCTGACATGGGAGCTGGCTCGGAGCTCGTCTGCTTGGCTGTGTGTTTCCTGGAAGGGGCCGCCTGTGGAGCTGGTTGACAGTTGCCTTTTGTATCTCTGCTTCTTTTTCTATGTCTGCTTCTGTCTCCTTGAACCCCAGTGGGCCTCAGCAGATGGCCGCTCACACTGAGCCTGGTTCTGCTGGAGGTTTCTTCCTGTTCAAAGGGAGTTTTTCCTCTCCACTGTCGCTACAAGCATGCTTAGTGTGAGGGATTGCTGAAGAGTCAGTGAGTCGATGCAATCAGCTGGTTTTCCTTAGATAGAAAACTTTGAATCAATCTGACTGGATGATCTGGTGAACTGGAAAGTGCCTTGAGATGACATGCTGTGAATTGGAGCTATAGAAATAAACTGAATAGAATTGGTTCATTCTCTTCTCACAAAGACCAAAGAAGATTTAGTATTTCAGTAGAAATAAGCAAAATGTCTGAATAGCAGCTTACCAGCTCTTCTTTCACCTGAAGTAGAGACCTGATCTGGTTGCTCTCCTCCTCAGCCACCTCCAGCTGCTGGATCTATAGCACAGCAGACAGGTAACTACTTTGTTTGGGGTCAGAAGAACAAGACTCAAATAAAAAGATGAAGTGTTTCATTAGAACCTGCTGGTCTTTCAGAGGATCCGCTCCTGAGAAGAGCTGCTGCTGCTGGAAATCACACTGCATCTAGAAAGCAACACATGACCTGTGAAAAGCCTGGCTAAGATTCTGGCAACACTTTAGGAGCTACCACCTCGTCAGATCTTTAAACAGAAAATCTAATCTGTCCATTTAGACCTGCAGGTTCAAATAAGCTTCATTCTGCATAAACACTTCAGTTCTAATTGGTTGTTCTTCTGAGGAGCAGGTGAGGAACATCCAATAATAATACTGCTGCTGCTGCTTTTACCATTTCAATCTTTTCCTCCAGCTGTGCCCGGAGCTCCTTCTTCTCCTCCCTCAGCCCCTCCACTATCTCCTGGAGCTGATCTCGCTCCTCAGTGAGAGCGGCCAGGCGGCTCTGCAGGGCTCCACGTTCCTCTGTGAAGGACTGATGGCCGGCGCTCACGCTCAGCAGACGGTCTCTTTCTGCTCGTGTGAGAACAAGCTCCTCGTTCGAGACGCTCGCCTGTTTCAAACGGAAACAAAATCAGCTGGTTTTTAATAAACCCTCCTAATCACAGCCTCAGACTGACTGCTGTGATTCTGTCTCTGCAAAACCAATCAGGGCATCAGAAACACACCTTAAACAGTAGTTTGTGAGTCAGTCTATTTATCTATTACATCGAACATACAGATCTATCCTACAGGCCCTTTCTGAGAGAGCTATACGTAAAGAAATCTGGGTCGCACCCGATTTTACTTTGTAAGGAAGACCTAAAGTGAGTTTTAAGCAAACTAAACTATTATGTGTTAAAGGTTAATGATATATTTCCTGTATAAATAAATTGGGATGCACGATATAATCGGCCCCCTATCGGTATTTAACCCGATATTCGATCAGCTTCTGAGTTTCTAAGTTTAAAAAAAAAAAAATACTACTACTTCTTCTTCCTCAAAAACTTCTTTTTTACAGACTTAAAAACTTCTAAAGACGAGGGAAAAAATATTTATACATTAAAATATCCCAATATCTTCATATGCTGATATATTGCCATTTAAAAAGACCATATCAATCTCTTTTACTAATGAAATATTGCTATATGTCATCGTTATGCTACGAAATCCCCCGAAAATTCACAAAATGTTGCCATATTTTTATATGTTGATATATTGACGCGGTATCGATCTATTTTACTAACAAAATCTCACAAGAATTTGCAAAATATCACCAGAGTTTGTAACAGAACGATGAAATTTGTCGAGATTTTGAAAGTAAAAGAGATCGATACCGCGTTTTTAAAAATCAATTCGATATCAGCATATGAAAATATATTTGAGTATATTATTTTTCAAAGTGTCAGAAATGGATAACAAAACTGCTATTTTCAATGACTACTTATTTTTGTCCAGCTTTAACACCGGTATCGATATCGGTTATCGGCTACATGAGTTTTAAAATATCGCCATATCGGATATCGGCCAAAATCCCAATATCGTGCATCACTATAAATAAATGTATTTAAATGTTGTTTCCTCCCTCATCTGTGCCCAATCTGTGCCACTACATTAACTTAAACATAAATCTACTCTTTTTGAGTTTTATGTTTCCCTTTCCTGTTAACATTATATATAATATATATATTATATTGTATATAGTGCGTAATCTAACTAAAGAAGCGACTAAAATACAGATAAACATGGTTTAATCATATTTTGCCAGACTGCTCTGAGCATATCCCATGATGATGTCAGAGAAGCAGTTTAACAGGGAAAATGTAAAAAGCATTGAATTCTCTAAGAAAAGCAATACAAATGTTTTAACCCTGTAATGCCAAATGTATCATATTTGATACATACAGTTTCTGAAATGTTTTGCGTCTGACGCCTTTTGCATAATTTAATGGTAAAAACTTTGCTCAAAGTCCTATTGTACACAATCAGATATACCGTACCTGACTACACAAAAAATAATCTTGACTTATCGCATAGTAATAAATTATTAATATCAAAAATGTATTTCTGTTTTTTCTTTTTACATATTTTGTTAAAAGGCCAAATAAGGACTTCAAACCCAAAAAAGTAGTTTTCTGTTTTGTTTTATTCTTGGATCGGGCTTTAAAGGGTTTAAGATGTGTATTAGCATTATTTAGTGATTTAAGGATAGAAATAACTACTCTAAGTACCATAATTATATTATTTATGGCGACCTGGATCAATATCTTTTTGCCATCGCTGATGGTACTGATAGAGTAGAGAGTGACCCTAAAAAGACAAAGCTACCAATAGTAGCCATTCAAGATTTCCCCACTTTCCTTCATGGGTTCCTGGCTGGTTCCCTAAGATTCCTTTTTAAACATCAATCTTTGTAGTAAAATATTCTGTCATGATTTGTGGACATTAAAATCTAAAGAGAAGCGTCCTGGTCAGAGCCTGTGATTCAGTGAAAGGGTGGAGTCAGAATAAAGAAGAAGGCCGACAGCTGGAAGGTGGAGGGGATTTAGCTGGGAGTTGCAGGGAAGGCTGCCATTGGGCTGGTGTTTGACAGGGAAGAGCTGCTACTGTACCAAGGTCCAACAGCTCAGAGTCTACATAAGCAACGCCAGAGAGAGCTTCTCATACTACACACATGCGTGATAACAAACCAATGAATGAAAGCTGATTGTGACAGGACATGTGGTAACCCTGGTAACGCTCTGAGCTAAAGCTAGCTACGTTTCCAGCCAGAATTAAGCCAGGCTGAAATACCAGCTAGTGTCCATAAAAGCCAATACTAGGCATAGCTGCAACATAAAGGGTCTCCTCTTGGATAATTTCTACCCTTGGTGGTGGGAAACAGAACTACATCACTTTAGTAAAGATGTAGAGAAGTCTTTTTGAATAACCTGGATCTACATAGAAATATCTAATTTGACCAGAGAGGCGCATCAGAGGGAGAAGAAGTGATGCTAGCTGGGTGCTAATCAGGTCATTATGCTCAGAAACCATAAGAACATGGTCTCCATATGCAGCTTTATAATCCAGGGCACAATCATTAGCAGCTTTAAGTCTGTTTGCACATCATTCAGCTCATTTCATCAACTGTTAAAATGACTGAAAGAAACTTTCCTGATTGCAAACATCTAGTTTTTGTTTGACTGAACTTTATGAGAAAATATGTGGATAAAAACAAAAACAAACCATTTGGATTGTGTCCTCCAGCTCTGTGTGAAGTTTCTGATTCTCCTCCTTCAGCTCCTCCAGCTCTGTGTGGAGTTTCATCCTCTCCTCCTTTAGCTCCTCCAGTTCGGTGTGGAGTTTCTGATTCTCCTCCTTCAGCTCCTCCGGTTCGGTGTGGAGTTTCTGATTCTCCTCCTTCAGCTCCTCCGGTTCGGTGTGGAGTTTCATATTCTCTTCCTGTTTGGTGTGGAGTTTCTTATTCTCCTCCTTCAGCTCCTCCAGTTCTGTGTGGAGTTTCATCTTCTCCTCCCTCAGCTCCTCCAGCTCTGTGTGGAGTTTCTTATTCTCCTCCTTCAGCTCCTCCAGTTCTGTGTGGAGTTTCATCTTCTCCTCCCTCAGCTCCTCCAGCTCTGTGTGGAGTTTCTTATTCTCCTCCTTCAGCTCCTCCAGTTCTGTGTGGAGTTTCATCTTCTCCTCCCTCAGCTCCTCCAGCTCTGTGTGGAGTTTCTTATTCTCCTCCTTCAGCTCCTCCAGTTCTGTGTGGAGTTTCATCTTCTCCTCCCTCAGCTCCTCCAGCTCTGTGTGGAGTTTTGTATTCTCCTCCTTCAGCTCCTCCAGCTCTGTGTGGAGTTTCCTATTCTCCTCCTTTAGCTCCTCCAGTTCTGTGTGGAGTTTCGTCTTCTCCTCCCTCAGCTCCTCCAGCTCTGTGGGGAGTTTTGTATTCTCCTCCTTCAGCTCCTCCAGCTCTGTGTGGAGTTTCCTATTCTTCTCCCTCAGCTCCTCCAGCTCTGTGGGGAGTTTTGTATTCTTCTCCCTCAGCTCCTCCAGCTCTGTGGGGAGTTTTGTATTCTCCTCCTTTAGCTCCTCCAGCTCTGTGTGGAGTTTCCTATTCTCCTCCCTCAGCTCCTCCAGCTCTGTGGGGAGTTTTGTATTCTCCTCCTTTAGCTCCTCCAGCTCTGTGTGGAGTTTCCTATTCTCCTCCCTCAGCTCCTCCAGCTCTGTGGGGAGTTTTGTATTCTCCTCCTTCAGCTCCTCCAGCTCTGTGTGGAGTTTCTTATTCTCCTCTCTCAGCTCCTCGTGCAGCTGTTTTCCCTCCTCCCTGAAGGCCATCACCTCCAGCTGAAGCTTCTGGCAGTGGGACTCCTTCTCTGAGAGCACCCGGTCTTTCTCCTCTCTCACGCTCTGCAGCTCCTCAGTTACAGACTTGATCTAAAAACATTTCTTCATATTTAATCATCAGAAACTTCTCTAAATCTCTCAGAACCATCAGAAAGAGGACAGCTATCTGATAACTCGTATCTATAGAATTTGGAACCAGATTCAGTGAACTCACGTTTCTTTGTAATTCCTCCAGCTGTGAGCCCATGTCACTGGGAAGCTCTTCCTGCTTACTGATTCTTTCAGACTGAAGACGTTTGATCTCCTTCACCAGCTCGCGGTTCTTCTCCAGGACCGTCCTCAGCTGCTCCTGGTTCTCTATCATCTGTTGAAGAGGCAGCTCTCTGTCACTGCGATTCAACTAACCAAACAGCAGATGTAATGTTTAGAATGATAACCTGTTTGTTACCATCTCTACGTTTTCCTGCAGGTCCTCTTTGAGCTGATCTCTCTCCGCAGTAAGAGAGGCGACCTCAGCGAGCAGCCTCTGCACCTCCTCTGAGGAGCTCTGAGTGACGGCGCCTTGGTAAGCCGCTCTCTGCTCTCGCTCCGCTTGCAGCTCCTGGGACAGCCTCAGCATCTGTGTGCGGTCAGAAGAAGCGTTGGGGTCTCTGAGCCGGCAGGGAACGAGGGGAGAGCAGGCTCCATCATTTACTCACTGATTCCTTTACCTCAGCCTCTTTCTGAACAGAGGTTTGCATCAGGTCATCGTTCATCTGCTTCTGTTCTCTAAGCTCTTCCTGAACGCTCCTTAGAAGAACTGCAGCTGCTTCATCATCATCATCCTTCACAGTGACCTCAGCACCAGCGCTCTGTGCCTGCAGCAGGGCCTCCTTCTCTGCTGCTGCACACTGGAGGGCTGCAACCATCTCTTTCAGCTTTGAACGCATCACATTCATATTACAAGCGTTAGGCATCTCTTTATGCTAACAGCATCATTGTACTGTGCAAAAGCAGATTCAAACAGCCTGGAGGCAACATCACCACACTGAACGGTTGTTTTTAGCTCACCTCTGAGTCCTTTTCTTCTAGAGACGCTAAAAGCCGACTCCTTTCAGACTGGGATTCCTTCTGCTCTGCCTGCAGTGTGTTCAGCAGCTGTGTTACATCAGAACATCGCTGGCTCAATTCCTTCTCCTTCTGAGCTCTGCTTCCAAGTTCTGCCTGAATTTCCACATTTTCTGTCTTCAATGCTTGAAGCAGGTCTCTGAGCTGCTCGGCCTCTTGTTCAGTCTGAGCCTTTCCTGACTGAAGGTCGTCTCTTTCCTTTCTCACAGCCTGCAGCTGCTCAGTCAGCTCAGCCATCTGAAACAGGGTTAGCATGTTAGTCTGATGCAGCTCTGGGGGGGGAACCCCCTTCCAGGAGGTTGATAGGATTCACCTGTTGAGTCAAGCTTTCCAGCTGAGCTTTCAGAGTCTGAACTGAATCCTGAAGTGTTTCCTCTGCTTCCTGAGACACAGCCAGCTCCGTCTTCAGGCTGCTCACGCTCCGGTCCAGTTCCACACTTTCCAAGATCCCTGAAGAAACACCACAGCTCAGAGGTTGCATGGAGTCACATGGAGCCCTACCTACATCCAGGTTATAGGTTACTTGTTGGGACTGTGGCATCATGAAGAGCAGCGAGGTTTCCATCATCCACTGCATCACTGGGCTCTTCTGATAGACTGTTATCAATCTTTGCATCGCGGGACCTTTCCTTCTCCAGCTCCACATGCAGGTCATTAACCTTAGCTTCCAACCTCTCTTTGGTGGCAGTCAGTGTCACCTGGAGAGATTTCAATAACTACATAAAACACTGCAAAAAAATGAAATCTAAAGTAATTTCTCTTTAAAATATGTGCTTTTGAGGAGCTAAGTGAGACACTTAGCCAATGGAACAAGACAATTTACATTTAATATAAGAAACAAACAATTGCATTGTCTTATTTCAAGTGTATGTTTTCTAATGATCTTATTTAAAGTCGTAGGGAAACGGCTGTTCCAACCGCTGCATTTCCAAAGTGCTCGACTTTACACGAGTGAATAAAGTGAATGTGATTGGTCAATTATCAAGGGGGCGGGATTGTTGTAGCGGAAGATTCAGCAAGTTTGGTTGTGGCCGGTTTCTCTTAGCATCTAGCTAACCAGTTAGCAACTTAGTGCTACTTGGTCCCAATGGGAAATTCCATTGGGACCAAGTAGCACTAAATTGGTGACTTAGAAACGACGCTGTCAAGGAACGCTATGGACAGCGGAAACATGCAAGAGGAGGAGAGTTTAGTGTCGGAGGTCGTGGATGAGTCTCCTCCGTCATCCATTTTTTATTTAGAGGAGGAAAGCGGGGATGAAGATGTTGTGAAAGAGGACGCCAGGGCGGCAGAAGCTTGGTTTGGTGTAGAAGGCTTCCAGCCGTACAGGTTTGAGCTCTTGCCTCGCAACGCTGCCAGTTCTGTTAGCTCTATGCCTGCTGAAGACACAGACGTCAATCCCCGTGAACACTGGGACGCAACTCAATGGGAAAGGAAAGGATTCTGATTTCAGCTGTTGCGTATATTAGCTGCAACATATGAATCAAGATGCTATGACCGAAAAAAATTGACAGATGACCGTTGATATATGATTGGCCGAATGTAGGTGTTCAGGCTGACGTAGAACTAACTGGCCTGCAGAAGATAATGGAAAAAAAAGAAGAAAAAAAAAAATTTTTTTTAAATATAAAAATGTTCTCAATTTTAGGACAATATGGTCTGATATTGATATGATCTGGTGAACTGTAAAGTGCCTTGAGATGACATGTGTTGTGAATTGGCACTTTATAAATAAACTGAATAGAAATTGAATTGAATGGACAATTGGGTACATTTATACACATGTTTGAGCCAGAATGATTTGACATTCAAATATGACTTCCCTACAACTTTAAGATTAAAACTACTCATTCCACTGGCAGATCATCTTATTTACCTACAGAAATTAGGCTAAATACACTTTATTTTAGACATTTTTACTTTATGTCTCAATGGTTTTTGCAATGCCTTCTTCTCTGCCCAGGTTAGTGACTGTCGGCCTTCTAGCCATCAGCTAAAGCAGTGGTTCCCAAAGATTTTCTTCTGGGCCCCCCTTTGGATTACAATAAAATTTCCACTGTAACATCAATCAGCTTAGAATCAAACAGCTCTGTCTGTTATTGGAATGCTCTACAACCTGAACGAGGTGGGATGGATGTTAGCCTCATCCTGATCTCGTGAGCTTTCAAGGTTTCACTCGCAGATCAGTCTGGAGACTCTCCGTTAAAGAAAATTTGGAGCCGTTCACCAAACAAACGTCCAATCAGCGTTGGCTTTGAGGCGGGTTGAGGTGTGACGCAACGAGAAGCGCGACAGTTCAGTCTAAAGAACATGGCGGCTTCAGCCGATGAAACTAGCATTAGCGTGGCTATCGAGCAAGTTTTATCGGAATTATTTCTTCACTGAAAGAAGAGCAAAACACTGCTCTGGAGGCTTTTCTCAGAGGAAAAGATGTTTTTGCTCTTCTCCCCACTGGTTTCGGCAAGAGTTTGATCTATCAATTGGCTCCTCTTCGTCGTCGCTCTGTTAGTACGTCATATGCTTCGTTGATCTGATTGGTTTATTTGGCCCGTCTATCACCAACATAGGCCAATCAGCTAACCAGTATTTTCGCCCCTTCCCAAAATTACTTCAACGGAAGGTTTCCAGATGGATATGCCGAGCAAATCCAATCTCTATATTCCAGTTAACTTTTAATCTATTACTAAATTAGCTGATGATTATTTTTTGAATGATTGATTAATCACGATTAATCGTTTCAGTCCTAGATTTTACCCAAACAGCAGGAAGTGATGTTCTTGATGTTTCTCATATAGGAAACTTCTAGTAATCACACAGCTGCTATTAGATTAACATGAAATTTAGCGGATAACTCTCTACCTGCTTTAAGGTGACACCTCAAAAATAAAGAAAAAACAAACATTACCTGCAGATCCAGGCATCGATGTTCATAGGATTCAATTTCCCTCTTTAAAGCAGATATTTCTTTTTTTAATTCATTCTGCAAATAAGCAGTAAAAATAGAAACTTTTTATTAGAAGGAATCTTTTCTTCAAACAGAGCCAGCTGGGAGGAAGGTTTTCCTCGCTTGCTTGACGTAAAAGCAGTAAAAATAAATGTACCTCATGTTCCTTTGTGAATTTATCTTCCAGACTGAGGAACTCATCCATCTCCTTCTTCTCTTTCAGCTCCTGACAGAGAGCAGACTTCTCCTTTTCTAAACTCTCAGTGTGCTCCAGGAACATCCCCAGCTCCTTCTTCAGATAGTCTCGCTCAGCAATCACTTTTTCCTGGGGAACACACGTTTGAAGTCATTGGAAATGTTGGAATAAACTTTTTCATTTTACATCAAATGACTAAACAGCATCTGTCTAGGATTGGACCCACAGTAGCTACAGCATCACACCCGTTTCCTGATAGGGAAATCTTTCTAATGCGGCCAGAGAGGTGGCCTCCTGGTCTGTCCTGGGAAAGCTTTCATAGATCCAGCATTTCCTCTCCTAACCAAACACTGTAGTCACTTGTAAGCAAATAGAAAATGTGAAGAGGGGCAGGCACTATCAACATCATCTATGGGAGCAGTTGGATCAATTGTCAAACTTCCACAGGAGGAACTAATGTCTTAGTTAATAGCAGCTCTCTGGTTTTGTGCTGTTTTTCTAAAATGGAAAGTTACCCCCCAGCAGCAACTCTTACCTTCTCTAGGGCCAAGCTTTCACACAGCTGAAGGCTCTCTGCAAAGTCTTTCCTCATCTGGAAGACAGGGCATATGCAGTGAAGAGAAAACTCTACATTTATAGAAACAAAACTATTAAGCCCCATTTCCACTACCGATCCGTGCCGAGTTCTGACCCAGCTTGGATCAGTTAACCGTGCTGAGCTTGGTTCCCTACAACCGTTTACACACCGCGCTAGCAGTTCCTCGCCTCCTAGTGGCGATCTACGGTACTACTGAGAGTCAGGAGAAGAAGGCAGCCTTTGGTGAATTTACTTGACAGAATCAGCTTTTGGGAAGTGGATACGACAAACTATAGTCTAATCAGGGCTTCCAGACGCAGGAAACAACAACAGATGTTGAGGTTCATCACACTGCTAAGCATTATTGGAAATCATGTGGCACAGTAGGAAGCTAGGATTTCTATGAATGTCTGAAATGTCCGGATTACAGAGGCTGACTGTAAGGAGATGAGGCGATCAGCTCATGCGCTCTTTGTTATCAGAGAACTGATCCAGAACTGAACCAGGCTGAGCCCTACTGATGAACTAGTACCAGTTTAGAGCGGCTCGGTTGTGTCTGGCACGGTCCGGTTCAGTTGTGTGTGCCATTTACACTCAACAGTTACCATGGTTACCATGCTCGGACCAATCTCACCACGGTTTCAAACGGTAGAGTAAATGGGGCTTTATTGTCTGCTGTCTGTTTCCAGCCAACCATCTAAGAGGAGAAGTGAGGCTACCTGCTGTAATTCAGAAGTCTGCTGCTCGCTGCTAAGGTCTGAACCGCTGGAGTCCATGTTGACACTGGTTTCCAGTTTCTTCTCAGCTTCCGTTTCCAGAGCCTTCTTCAGCTCAGCAACATTCTGCTCTGATGCTTCCAGTTTCCACAAGGCGTCCATCTTTTGCTCCGTTTCACTTTGCAGCTGCGTTTTCAGCTCTTCAAACTGCTGCTCCAGTGTCTGCATCTTCTCCAAAGCCTCTTGCTTCTCTCGGACTTCATTCTGCAGCAGCGACTCCACTTCAGATAGCCTCAGTTCTGTTGCCTGCATTTTCTCTACAGCCTGTTGTTTCTGCAAAGCCTCTGACTGGGTCTGCAGCTGCAGCTCTGCTTCTCGGCCTTCCATCATTTCTGCCTTTCTTACGGCCTCCTCTCTCTGTTGACTTTCAATTTCAAGTTGCAACTCCAGATTAGAGATTTTGGCTGAAAGCTGACATGTTTGATCAGAGGACTGTGGGAATCTGTCGCTGAAAAGCAAAGATAAAAGGTGTGTGGTTATGAGAGGCAGCTTTGTGACCCGACTTAAAGAAAACCCCTGAAACAGACCTTCCTCCAGAGCTGCGAACAGTCACAGAGCTCTGACTCATCTCCATTTCCTCTGATGGCTCCTCAGGAATCTCAGAGTGGGAAAAGAAGTCCTCATCCGATGCTACAGAAGAGCAAACCATTAAAAAATGATTCACAAATCATAGGAGTGTCTTACTTCTCAGTGGCTTTACATTGATTCAGGGAAGAGAGGCGATCAGCTTTCCTCTTGCGGCTTAAGCTCATGTTCATGTGAGACGGGCCGTCGTCATCCTCGTCATCATCACAGGCAGAGGGATTGGCAAGTTTGAGCATCTTTCCTCCCCAGGTCATCCTGCGTTTAGGGAGCTAAGCACAGAACAAAGGGGAAAGGTCTCTGAAGCTTCTCCTGGTGAAAACTTCAATGTTTAGGCAACTGGAGGTGGAGTTTTCTAGAAAACCTTTCTCCTCACCCTGTCTACTTTTAAGGCTAGGCTTAAAACTCTCCTTTTTGATAAAGTTTATAGTTAGAGTGGCTCAGGTTATCCTGAGCTATCTCTATAGTTATGCTGCTATAGGCTTAGACTGCTGGAGGACATAGGGACCCCTATTTCATCATTCTATCTCTATTCTCCCACTCTGCAGAATCTGTTAGTTCAATCTCTAACGTTCTGCTCTCTCTGCTTTTTCTCATAGTAGCTTCATCTGGTCTGTTCCTGTTTGGCTGTGACTCCATCCTGGAGAGAAATATCAGCTGTGCTGCTGCCATCAACACCTTTGTTTATAGATGTTGGAGATCGGCCTGTTTTCCAGTGTAGTCCTGTTTCTCTGACTGTGACTAACTGGATGTGCTCTCTTCATCCTCTGACATGGGAGCTGCCTCAGAGCTCGTCTGCCTGGCTGAGCCTGGTTCTGCTGGGGGTTTCTTCCTGTTAAAAGGGAGTGTTTCCTCTCCACTGTCACTAAAAGCAAACCTTCGAGTCGATTTAATCAGCTGGTTTTCCTTAGATAGAAAACTCTGAATCAATGTGACTGGATGATCTGTAAAGTGCCTTGAGATGAGATGTTGTGAATTGGCCCTATAGAAATAAACTGAATAGAATTGACTCCTCTCATCCTAGAGGCTTTCTCAGTTCTAACTGATAGAGGTGAGCACTAGGGTTAATACACTCTATGTGTAATAAAACAATTAGGGGGAAAAAACTAAACCTGGCTCTGATCCCTCCCTATAGATGGGGAAGTGGACATGCAGGCTAATCTGCCCAGAGGGGGGGGGGGAGCGTTACCTTTGGTAAATAGACCAGTTTGGAACCGGTGACCAGCAGCTCAGTTAGGTTTCTGATTCGATCTTCTTGTTCTCTCTGGAGCTGCTCTTTTTCTTGGAGCAACTGAGACAGAACCTCTTTCTCTGTTGCTGTGGTCTGAGTGACTGAAGACACCTGGAAGAAATTACAAGTATGGAGTCAGAAAGGGGTCAAAAAGGTTTGCAAACGTATACATCTAAAGTTGAAACTGATAATTAATGTCAAATTTTTATCTTATAATCTGAGAAACTAAAAAGCAAACATAAAATAATAAGAATGTAATCTACATTCTTCCCCTCAGCTTGAAAGAAACTCCTGAAACTGAAAAGGGAGTTTGAAAGTAAAAAAAAAAAAAATAGAAATGGAAAAAAATGGATTTGAATCTGAAAATATAAAATCTACAACTTCAAAAAAGATGATAAATAAAAAGAAAAAGCTTAATTAAAATACTAAACAGAATTTAGATTCAATTTTTATCTTACGTTTGCTTTTTTAGTTTCTCAAATACATTAAATATCAACTTCTCTTTTTTCTGTTTTAACTAAGATTTAGACGTTAAACATTTTGACCCCTCCATGGCTCCATAGAGGTCAAACCCAGAGTTCCTGGTTCTGTCAGCCCAACACTCACCTCATGGAGTCGACGTTTAAGGTCTACGATCTCATTGCGGTACCTCTTGAGCAACGCCCCATCGTCTGATACCTCCGTCACATGAGGATCATTCTTCATTTTCTTGGCAGTGCTGGCAAACTATTAAAACACATTTATAACTTGTTAGAAAACTCATTGTAGGGCTGAATGAATATCTCCTTTAAAAAGAGTCTAAAAACTAAGTGGGTTAAATAAAATGTTATGGACATGTCATAGGACATTTCTAGGATTCCTAGATCTATGCACAGAGTCAGCAAAGAACACTTTTAATAAAAAAAAACAGACCAACTGCATGAACAGGCATCAGAGTAAGGTTTGAAGCACTTCAGAAGACATAAAAAGGAACCCTACATATTTTCCAATTAATCAGCTCCTTTAATCTTGGTCCCGTTCAGACTGCAGACCAATGTGGCCTAAATCCGATTTATTGGGCCTGAAGTGCTTCAGCTGAGATTCTGTCCTGACTGTGAGACCAGACCAAGAATCTGACTTTTTCAAACCCCATCTGGGTCACATTAGTAAGTGGTTTTAAGCTGATACCAGTTGGACCTTTTGGATCAGACTGCGGTTTGAACGGCAAAGTGACCCCAATAAGGAATTTGTGTGGCGATGATGTCACATGGATGACGGCGTGGTTGGAGGAGCACAGTGGATAGACAATGAGATTTTGGAGTTAAGTATTTGAGTGGATACAGCGACCCAGCAGAGTCTTCAGGGGTCTCACTAAAACAATTCAGTTGACTGAAGTGGCAGCCACTCATTTCCTCAGAGAAATGCATTTCACTGCGCCTGCTCCTCCAAAAGCCGCCATTAATAGTTCAGCACTCAGTCTCCTTTTCTGAAGCTTTAAATCCACCCAGACACACCGACTTCTGACGTTTCGTTATTGTTTTTCTGCCTGCAGGTCACGTGAACAGACCAGCAGCGTAAACGTAGCCTTTGAGGAACGAACATCAAACCTCCCGTCAGTTTCCTGGAGCAGACGGCACTTCATTGGTCTCATTCAGCAGGCCTCTGCTAACTGAAGACTCCCCACTGTCCTGTGTGTTTTTGTTTGTCTCTATGTCGCCCTGCGATGGACTGGATGGAGTCCAGTGTGGACCCCGCCTCTCACCCGTAGACAGCTGGAGATACACCAGCACCCCTCACCACCCCGCATGACGAAAAATTGATGGACCCATTTAGTTAATAGAGAAAAAAAACAGAACATCTGACATTGGGTAGACCTAACAAAAATAATAAAATAACCTTAAAAAAAAAAAAAAAAACTTAAAACTTCAGTTTTGGATGACAAAGAGACACAGTTAAAAAGGTGGTGATAAAAACAACTCAATGGGCTCAACACACACAGCACCAAATGGGCCCCCAGGTCACGCATCTCCCAGAAATATGATTGATGATAAAATGAGAGTTTTTAATCTTTAAAGCAGGCTGTGAGAGAGAACGCACCAAGGATGAAAAACTAAAAGATGATTTGAGTGGAACTGGTTGAAATTGATATAATATTGGAGGGCTGGATGGAATGAAAGCGGCTGCAGACTCTCCTCTAACTCAGGAGCAGTTGATTGAAACCTTTATTGATCGCTTTAGTTTAACTATAAAAAGTTTAACTGTTTGTGTCAGAAGGCTGTATTGAACTGTCCCGTGGACAACCGATGGTGGACAGATATGACCAGAGAGGGAGCGGCGCCTCCAGCAGGTAGATAAAGACGTCCAGCATAACTAACCTGCAGGGTGCTGAGGGTCTCATCTAGACACACAGGAGTGATGGTGCTGATGATGACGGTTTTAGCGTTGCCTCCTAATGAGTTCTGTAGGATGCGGGTCAGTTTGCTATCTCTGTAGTTGGTAAAACCCCTGGAAGACATTCAGCAAAACAAGTCAATCAGTTCACTCAAGAATTTAATGTCTGATGACTGAGAAAAGGAAACAGTTATGATTGTATTTAACTCTAAAGCAGAACTCTGCTCAATTTATCTACCTTACTGTATTTGAAATACATTTTTTCTACTAATCTAAAAATACAAAAATCTGAACCGTTTTCTTCCTATAATTTGATATATATTAACTAAAAATAAAGAAAACTAAAGCCTAATTCTGCAAAGATGATGAATTAGCTGGTTTATAGTGAGTTTAGAGTTTGTTTCTTTTTCTCTGAACATTCACCGTTACTCACTTCTGGCTTTCATCTGTGAGTTTCTTGATCACCTGTCCAAGTGTGAACAAACTCAGATTGATGTTACAGCCTTCTTTAAAACGAGTACCTATGGAATAAATACAGTTTTAAAGGAGTAAACTCCCAATATGTGTTTAATGGTGGAATGTGAGGCTAAAGCTGGTGCTCTACCTTCCGTCTCCGTTTGGCTGGCTCTTTCTGATCCAGCTAGATCCACCAAGTTCTAAAAGACAAATTTAACTCTGCTTTACCAACTTTAAAGACCTCAGAAAGAGAAAAGGAAAACAACAGCTTACTAGATGGGAAACGATAATGGCTCCATCAGCGTTTTCCCCTGACGCCGGATCACTCCTTTCCCTGCTCTCCAATATCTAGATGAATGAGTTAGAAAGTCAGAAATCAGTCCCAAACTCTCCATGTTTCATTACATATGGAGCTGATCCTCACCATACGGAATATGGTGTGTGAGCGACTGCTGCGCTGGTTCATCTTAGTCTTCCCATAATGGCGGTTCTCTGCAGAGACACATGATGCAGAATAAGGCTGTGCTAACACGCCGTTAGCAGCACAGGCTGCCTGAGCAGCAATGCAGCAAACATGAGCTCCTACTCTCTCCTTTCTTGATCCAGGCCAGGGCTTGCTTTGAAGTAGTAACCAGCTCCTCCGTCAGGTCGGCCACGTAGATGGTTTTCTGCACAATCAACACAAACCCGCACTGATCTCTACAGGGCCACCATTAAATCACTTTATCAATACAGGGCTTTAAAATAAAAATAAAAAACAGCTGAAACAGAGTGTTGCACACAGCTGCAGCCTAAAACATGTAAAAAAAAGAACATAATATAAAGGAAGAAATCAAATATAACAAATTCAAACTCAGTTGCTAATGTTAAAAGTCAAATAATAGTGAGGAAGTGTTTGTTCCCTTCTTGATTTCTCATTCATGTTGTCACCCTGCAGTGTTCATTTATATTCCAGGATATAGTCCATAATATAAAACAACATACAATTTACTATAAGCCTCTAAGGTAAACTCTACATGTAGCTTAGAGGCTTAACTCTTTTTAAATAAGAATATCTCACTAATAAAAATATTAAAAGTGGAGCATTGAACCAGATCAGCCAACATCGGGGACTCAAACCGTGCTGGGAAAAAAGAAAAAGGAGGTAAAAAAGGTTTGGCTGGCTGATCAGTAAGAAGTTAGACAATATACAAATTTGACAAAATGCAACATGAAACAATATGTCCAGTAAAACCATTAAAACACAGCAATATGACAGGAAATGCTGTCAAATGTGAGGCTCATTGAAGCCACAGGGCTATTGGAGCATGCAGGGAGCGTCTGTGCAGCTTTTCCCGTAGCTGGAAGCAAAGAGAGGCTAAATTCACTGTCCTGCCCCAGTTATTCAAGAAGGACTACCCATGACACCATTTAGTTCTAATATAGGAACTGCAAGTCGCAATGTAGTCCACAATAATAGCAATCGCACATTTTCATCAAATCGTGCAGCACTATTTCTGAGCATTGCGTCCATTTCAATGCCTGCATTGGTCTGGCTAACGATATGTGGACGCCATCAGAGTCAGGGTTGTAATCATTAACAGATGAACACCGTGTAGATCTAAACATTATACTGAGAGGGCTGTAGTGGTCAGCTTCTTCTCTTTTTACTTGGCAAAAATGTCGACGGAGTGAAATCCATAGATCCCTGTTTATTTAACTTGACTCTATAGTTGAATAGTTTGTTCACACGACTGCATTTCTAGTGTTTATCACCAAATTCATATCAAATAAACCCAATATTTAGATTTAGTGTCTCTGGTGAGCTACAGTTGAGCTCCAATGTTCTCATCGGATACTTTGAAAACCTTAAACAGGAGCAGGAGAGCAGGTGTTTGCTATCAAACCTCAATAAGCAGCACTGAACAAAGCTTTCAAGCCTTTTAATATTTTTTTTAATTCTCAAACATTGAAGGAGCAATGGGATAAAACTAATATTCTGTTGTTCTGCTCCTTTTGCTAGTAGAAGGCTTTATAAGTAAAGCTGACGCTGACTTACATTGATTGTTTCCCGAACTTCCAAAGGCTTTCTCTTCCGGCTATCCACCAGCAGATCAGTCACAGTTTCATTGTAGATCTCCATGTAAGACACTCGCAGAAGGAACTCTTTTTTGGGAAACTTGAAAGAAGAAGGAAATCCATTAGGACTGAACAGTAAATCCATAATTTTAATTAGTAATGTGGCCCATCAGGGCAAAACATACGATCACATGAGGGAGGGTTCCACTGAGATACACACTACTTACATTTTTAATAGTTTGGAAGACATCATCTACAGCCAAAGGAATGACTCCAGGATTGCTATCACAGCCCATCATGGTGAAGGTCTTCCCTGAAGAGGTCTGACCGTACGCAAATATGGTTCCTGTCCAGCAAATGAAAGAGATATTTCACTACAAGCCACACAGAAGAGAGATGCTACTGTTCTGCCTAAACCAGGCATGTCCAAAGGTTTTCCTTTTTTCAGCACAGCTGGTTTCCATTGACGGCTGATCAACAGACTTATGCTGAACTGTAATAATCCCAATCAGCCGCGTCGAAGCAGAGAAACCTCTAAAGCCTGCAGAACAGCGGCCCCTACAGGACCGACTTTGGACATGCCTGGTCTAAATGTACAGGATCAGCTCTTTAGGCTCCTGTCACACCGTGCTGATTTATCCAGGGTCTGCCTGACGTCCCAGAATCTCCTAAAACGCTGCCATACGCTGAACTTTCCATGGATTATTTTCTATTCTGGGCGTATAGATAGAGTATTCATGACGACTCCAGAACTTCTGTCCAACGAAAGCCTAACTTCTGCATAACGCACGCCAGCTAATGCCCATGAAATGATGCACAACCCAGTGTCCTGAGGGGCGTCATGAGCGTCATGTCTGCTAGGATGTGTGTTGGTGGTGGGCGTGAACGCAGGGAGGATCCATCACTCACCTTCTGGCTCACCCTATGATGGGGATGAAGTCTGGAGGAGAACTGACGGTTTCCTCCTGTGAACCCCCTTTATACCAAAACGCTGCCAATACGCCATTATACAGTAGCTGGAAGTTAGAAACACGTTCAGCGCTCGTCTGGAACACGTCAGATATGTTGATATGCGTTGGAGAGAAGTTCTGGATAAGTTACTCAGAGGTTTAGGATCAGCTAGACGCCACGACTGATGAGGAACTGACACTGAACGGATGACGACCATCAGATACCTGACCTGGAACTGATGGCCCACGGATGGCAGACGACAGAATACCTCGCTAAAAATTTCTCATTCTCTATATTGATGTGTTTCAACGTACTTCAGCATGTTCATAACTTATAAACGTAACCATAACTTATCCAACGTATGCCAGAGTTTTTGCCAGATTTTTTATATGTCAGGCAGACGCTGGTCTAAATCGTCAAAGTGTGACAGGAGCTTTAGAAACATTGGTCCTGCAGCCAGGCTTAAAACAAACAAAACAATCACTCTACAGCAGGACCACAAATCAACCAAACGTCTGAGTAAATTCCCAAAACCATTAATCCAACCATAACATGTCGCTTCCCGTTCCATACCATTGTAACCTTGAACAGTGGAAACAACCAGGGGCTTTGCGATCTCCTGGTAAAGCTGGCTGGTGGATTCTTTAGCTGTAAACACTCTGTCTGTAGACAACAGAATTAGACCATAAAGTTATCTCACTGGCTCCACACACACACACCATTAACATCCAGTGGAAAACTTACCAAAGCTGAAGCACTTGCTGGAATTTCCATCATCAATCTGACAAACTGATTTCTTATCTGTTTTCCAAAACAGCTGGACAGGCTGTCCGTTTTCTGAAGCAGCTGTTTCTTCCCTGAGAAATGAGTGGTGATATAGAAGAAAGATCAAAGAAGGTAAACATGCACATACAGGAACATCCTGAAGAGTTTGCATACGTAGAATTTCACTCTTGAAGACGGTAGCATACTTTGACTCAACCCAGCTGTGAATATTCTTGTGCAACTTTTAAGTAGGGAGGAGATGCTCAATCAATCAATGCTCAATCTTAGGAGCCTTTAGGGCTCAAAAGGTCTGACCAGCAGGACCTGAAACACAACTGGCAAGATGTGACACTGAGTCAGTAGCTCCAGCATTCCTGCAGATCGCTTCAACTGTTCAGCCATTGCTAGATGCAAGGAGACCAGAGGGAATACTGCTCACACAAATGACATCCACAGTCTGCACTGCGGCTGATCCATTCGGTATGCATACAATCTCTAAATATTCACATTTAGATCAGTGGAAAGGACGTGTAATTATTCTCCCAAAGAAGTTCTTTCTCCAGATGATTCCAAAAAAGTTCAAGTCCACTGGACTTTGTTTCCAAGTTTGAAGAAGTTTCCCTTTCATCCGGGAAGCTTTTTCAATTAAAAATGTCAGAAATATTGTTGAGTTCCAGGTTTTATCCAGCAGCCCAACAAAGCCTGGTTTATGTTTAGAAAACATGCAAATTGAAACAGACAAACGGGTCCACCCCTTTGGAATGGGGGTCGTTTGGCTTCTTTGTAATGCCCCATACCTGTCTATGTCTCTGTAACAAGAGTCGCTAGAGGGAATTGGTGGCCTTGCTGAATAACAATTCCCTCTAACGACCCCAACAAAGGGATGGACTCGTTCCATCAGTTTCAATTTGCATGTTTTCTAAGCAAAAACAAGGCTTTGTTTTTGGTCCACTCTGTAAAGCCTCGAACTCAACGCTATTTCTAACATTTTGAATTGAAAAAGCTTCCTGGATGGAAGAGAAACGTCTTCAAACTTGGAAACAAAGTCCGATGGGTTGTTTTTTTTTTTTACTTTTGTGGAATGACTATGACCTGGATGACTGAGAATCTTCACCAGCACTTTCTCAGGGTGGGAATAGTCTAGTGAGATAAAGCAATAACCCCACAGAGGAGGGATGCAACATCCCCACAGCTGTTTTCTGCCACTCAAGAGCTTCCTTTGCTCATTTGAAGTAAATGAGATCCTGCAGGTTTAGTGTCTGGCTCCCCTATTCCTCTGTAACATAGCTGCCTATGCTATTAGATAGATGAACATGTTGGCTATTTTAGGTATTTCAGTGTGTTTGGATCATCTTTATGAATACTCTGCCCTCTCTGCTGGGCGGAGTACTTTGAAGCAGGGCTGCAACTAACAATTAGTTTGTAAATTGATTCATCTGTTTATAAATGCTTAAATGCTGTATTATTATAGTCTTTGGACCAGAGTCTTTGAAAAAGAAGCTGATTAGCCAGTCACTTCATTTGGATGGGATTAAACTGATTTCAGATAATAAAGTAAAAAATCTTGGTGTTTTTTGATCAAGACCTGTCATTTAATTCCCATATCAAAGAGGTTTCTTGAATTTCCTACTTGCATCTGCGGAATATTGCAAACAACAGAAATCTCCTGTCACCAGGAGAGAGTCATGAGGAGAACTCGGCTACATGAACTCCTGAACACAGAGGGATGCAGAGGAGTCAGACAGCACACATCAACAGGCCTGAGGGCAGAACCTTCAAACCTGTTCCTTATGTTCCTAACAGAGCACTTCGCTCTCCATCTAGAGTGGTTCCTAGAATTTCTAAAAGTAGAATGGGAGGCAGATCTTTTAGTTCTCAGGCTCCTCTCCTGTGGAACCAACTACCAGTTTTAGTCCGTGAGGCAGACACCCTGTCTACTTTTAAGGCTAGGCTTAAAACTTTCCTTTTTGATAAAGCTTATAGTTAGAGTGGCTCAGGTTATCCTGAGCTATCTCTGTAGTTATGCTGCTATAGGCTTAGACTGCTGGAGGACATAGGGACCCCATTTCATCATTCTTCTCTCGTTATGCTTTTTTTTTTTTACAATCTTGGTATAATTGCTGCTCAATATTTCCTATTCAGCTCACACACAAGCATCCTGTTTAAGCCTCACCATTGTACTCTAACTGACAGTATCGCAGGTTCTACCAGGTTTTTAGGTCCACATCAGTAAGGATTGAATGCTGCATAATGTCCCCCTATAGATCCCTGTCCTCCAATAGATCACTATAGCCATGTTCTTAATGGATCCACGGTCCATTAAGAACATGGCTGCTTAGAGCCAGACACAGCAGGAGGAGTTCACCGCCATTACCTGAAACCTGTGTTTTTGGAGGACCAGATGGCCAGCTAGCATTAATCGGCTACGGTAGAATATTAAAGCTGGATGATGCCGAACCGTCCGCTAACCGTCGGGGCGGCGGCTGGTCCGGGAGAACTAACCTCTCAACAACAGGCCGGACCCGGACACACACTTTAACGGATTCCGCCGCCATGTTCTCCGCTGTGGAAAAAGGAGACCTGAAGAGAAAACTGGACTAACTAGAGAACCGCGTCTTCTTTTACAACATTCTTCCACCTTCAGGGAAAACTAAACAGTTTGAATCATAAAGCTTAAATCTGATTGGTCAACGTCATCACGCAAAGTGACGCAGCCATGGCGGTGGGGAACCAATAGAGAGGCCGATATGATGGATAATTTACTATTTGGCTATGATTATTATTTTATATCAATAGTTTTGTTTTAATGATACATATCTTAATCTATGAACTTATATTTAACAGTTATACAATAACCAACAGTTATATAATTCATTCTACTACATGGCTGCGTCATATGACGAATCATGTGCGACTCACTCCGTGACGTTTTTTTTTTTTTTTTATTGAGCGAGGAAAGTTTTTATTTCACTTAATGTCAACAATAACATATAAGATATAGAGATAAACAAACAAATCTGCCAGGGGGTTTAATTATATAATCACAATAAACACCTGCAGTCAGGAGGAAAGACAAACAAACTTATAAACAAAGGTGTTTAGGAGTGGTAGCTATATATACACATAGACATGCATTTATTGCAGATCTTATATTACAGATCTACAGAATTAATTTGTCCAGAATTTTAAGTTGGGAACAGATTGATTATGGGATCCGTTTTAATGAAGTTTATTTAAACAAAATAAATACAAACAAGTAAGGCAAAAACAACAGTACAAGTCCGTGGAAGGCAGATTTCAAAATGGAAATATAACATTGATAAGGAACAAAAAAGAATAAATTAATGATAACAATGAAACAATAATTAACATGGCAACAAGGGGATTTACGTTAGGATTGATGAACATCGGTGGGGAAACCCATCAGTATTTCAGTCAAGTATTCATCAGATTTGATGCATTTAAGAGATTTCAAATATAATTTGATTTTAAAAATATGTTAAAGACTGGGGATGATCTCAGCACTCTGTTCACGAATAATGAATTTTTCTAAACGCAACATTATGTTACGGCAGAGTTCTATTGTTTTGTTTTTCAACGGTATTCCAAAAGTTACTGTATCTCTAGAGATAGATTTAGGAAGCGCAATGTTGGATTTGATCCATCTTTCAGAGCAATTCCAAAATGTTTTGGGTTGATTGCATCCAGGGGTGGATCAGGAAGTGTGGGGCCCTTGGCAAAGAAAGGCAGGGGGCCCTTTAAAAGGGGAGACAACGCATAAAACAGACCCATTATCCAGATAGAGAAATGTTAATAGAATAGACATCCATTATCTGTTCTAGGTTGTGTCCCTCTCTTCTTCTTGTTTTCCTCTCTATGTTTTGTACTCAGCTGACTTTTCATGCTGTCTCTAAAGGAATGAAAGATTTTTTCCAAGCACTAAGCTCACTTAGCTGATTGCTCCTTCCTGTGTTTCCAAAAAGGCCAAAGTAATAACCATGAAGGACTAACATGGAAAGTGCATATTGAAAAAACGAGATAAATGTAAAAAGATATTAAATATTATGAGATGTTTAGTTTGAAGAGATTAGAAATTGTTAAAGGGAATATATGAACTTTAGCATTAATTTAAGTAAAAGTGAGGGTAAATCTATAATTCAGAAGGAAATCTGTAAGATTTGGCAGGAAAAATGTGATAATCATGGCCTCTGGTAGAGATCTATATAAAATCAAAAGACTGTGGGAGGTAATAGTACTAAGAGGAAGTCATATCTCTTAGAATTGGTCATAATGGACTCTAGTTCTAGTTCTCTTTTCAGCATAAGGAAACATGAAACAGGGACTTATAATCACTCTGATCAGATGGAAACATTAGAACAGGTATTATTACAATATAGTAAATATTCAGAGGAAAGTCAGCCCTCTAAGTCAATACTGAATAGAGAGAAAACAGGATTAATTAGATTATTAAAAAACATTTAATTGATTAAATCATTAATGTGAGTGTGTGTGCAGATTCATACAAACCATAGAGGGATTAACTCTGACATCATTGATGACCTCACTCCAGTCCGGTAGGTGGCGGTAAATGCACCTTCAGTTGGTGCCATTCGCCAATAAAAAACAGAAGAAGAAGAAGTAGCCTTGGAGACGTAGTAATCCAGCGACTGATCCACATGTAACAGAATGGAGTGTTTTGTCAGTAAATAGAAGAGGGGCTGTTTGAAGACCTGTTCGGGTTGTTGTTTAAAGGCTCTAATAGAAACCAGTAGAAATGTCTCTGTTTCTGGTGAACAGGTAGGAACCACAGTTTGATCGGATCTTGTGTCCAAATGCGCTGACTTTTATTAAATACCGTTAAAATAGCGAATGACTCCTCCAGCCGTTTGTCATTCAACACATACGTTTTTGGTCTGCTTTTGAATAGATAGTAAAAAGTGGTCAGTAGTGATGTTAATGAGGCATCTGGAAGCCAAACTATTGATGCTGCATTGATACTGTCTAACAGAATACTGACACCTGCTGGACATTTAAAGGCACTACAGACAGCTGATTGGAATAAACTGAATGGGTTTGATGACCTAGAACAATTAAATCATTGAAGTTATTGGATGTTATATTGTATTATTTCATATATATGTTAAAATTTAAAATATATCTTTGATATTTATAGATGCAGCCAATAAATAATGTAAACATTAATCATAAGGTGAACATTTAGGGGGAAATGTGAATGAGGATGATTGTGGACTAAGATTTTAAATCATAATTTTAAAACAATAACTACAGTGAAAATAGTAAATAAACTAAGAGTCAGTTTGAAATGAACTTAAATTCAGATAGTTGAGTGATACCTCAGAGGAAAAGGATGACACAACGAGGAAATAAAAATACAGTGGCTAAAAGGTTTCTATGCCTTTTAGGCTCCAAAATTCTGGATTGTTTCAATTATCATCATTTTTTTTAGCAGATGCATCATGGTGACAGATCCCTTTTTAAACACGGTGTTTAGCTCTGTGGGCTTCATGCATGCAGCGATGCATCAGGGTTAATGGACCCATCACTGCTGGTCAGCAATGGGAAAGTCATGGATCTAGAATTCTTAACTTCATAAACCCTTCATGAGAAAACTGATTGTGCTTTTCTGTGCTTGTGACGTCACTGTGTTTATTATCACAGGTATCTTGGAGACGAGGAGGATGATGTCACATCCAAGGAGTCCCATTCACAGCAGTTGTTAAACAAACTGCAGCAGAAGGTGAAGCAGAAGCAGAGACAGAGTTTAACAGAACAAAGACACGGGATTATTGAAGAAACCAAGGAGCATCAGGAAGAAACCAGCAAAGATGAGAGACCAAAGGAGCATCGACGCGACAACAAGAGGAAAACACAAGATGCAGCTTTGTGTGATTCTGTTGGAAAAAAGAGAAAAAAAGATGCTAATAGGAAGCAGAAGAGTCAACAGTCAGGTGAGCTTCTGCTCTTTAAATAATCACTATAAGGTTTAAATGCTGTGCTGTTTCTAGACTTTATATTCCAATCATTCATTACCTGCATTAAAGCTGCAGTGTGTAATAATTACAGGTTTACAGTAATTACTTGTTATTATTACAGTAAGTCTTTATGTTTCCTTAGGAATGTTTTTCTTAGGAATTGCTATTTATTCTCACATTGGAGAAGGTCATGTATTTATGGAGGCAGACATCTTTGTGCTACGGCAGCTCAGAGCTGACAAACTAGTGACTGTAGAGATCTGCATTACGTTCGAATGGGACTGAGGCACGTTAGGCCTATTTAACATCTGTGTCCTACACTGACTAATAAACCACTATTTATAAAATGATGCATGTAAACTAGACCTGCAGCGTTTTCACTGAGTTTTTCTCTCAGTGGACATGCAATCTTTTTCATTTATTTTATTTTTTGTCACGGTTCCCAAAAGATGGAGATGACTCCCTCAGACAGCAGAAGGTCAGACTTTGTTCTGAGCTCAGGAAATGGTTGGAGAACACCAGTGTTCTGTCAGACCAGCATACCTGTAGTCAATACGCAACACGACACATTTGCCTTTATCCCTTTAGTTTTGTAGGAAAAATAGAACTTAAACTACCTCACCGGGCGTGTTTCCCTTCAGTCATGTACAAAAAAAAACAATTTAAGGTCAGACACCCATACACTTCAAAAAACACCAAAAAGGAAGTAATTAGATAGTTTTTTCTTTTGTCCATAACACCTGGTGAGGTAGTACTTTGGAGGAAAATACTAAATAAAATCTGTTAATCAGTTTGGAGTCACACAGAGCGAATATAGCAGGAAGGACAGACTGGACAGAAACAATCAATGAAAGATTTTAAAAAGCAGAATAGTGGACCTATAATAGGAGCTCAGGAGGACAGGAAATGGATGCAGTAGTGATCCTCTTTGAGCCTCACTGAAACCAACCAATGAGGGGCGGATGGAGCAGCAAAGCAGCTCATCTCTCTCACCTCCTAATGAAATAAAAAACAAAATCCTCAGATAAACTTCCCGGATCTCTGAGAATGACCCCTCTGCCTCTGTCACCATGGAAACCGTCCCATTATCAATGAAGAGATCAATGAACCGACCTTCAGCCTCTTTCCCAGTGAAAGTAGCAGGTTAACTCGTGTGTTTCAAATATGGCTCCATCCGCTTACAATCCGCATTTAGCTGTCTTCACACAGGATAATGAAAGCTGCTCTAACCCCTCGCTGGCTGCTGCAACCCATTATTGATGGGTTTTTATTTTCTTTAGATGTAGATCTTGTTATGGTTTTAATACAGGCCTGTAAAAATTCTCTGTTCTGGTTTGGAGGGTAGAAAATGGATAAAGTAGTGACCCTCCTTTAAAAATAAGGAGGGACAGCAGAGAGACTACCAGTTTTAGTCCGTGAGGCAGACACCCTGTCTACTTTTAAGGCTAGGCTTAAAACTTTCCTTTTTGATAAAGCTTCTAGTTAGAGTGGCTCAGGTTATCCTGAGCTATCTCTATAGTTATGCTGCTATAGGCTTAGACTGCTGGAGGACATAGGGACCCCCATTTCATCATTCTGCTTCATTCTATCTCTATTCTCCCACTCTGCAGAATCTGTTAGTTCAATCTCTAACGTTCTGCTCTCTCTGCTTTTCTCATAGTAGCTTCATCTGGTCTGTTCCTGTTTGGCTGTGACTCCATCCTGGAGAGAAATATCAGCTGTGCTGCTGCCATCAACACCTTTGTTTATAGATGTTGGAGATCGGCCTGTTTTCCAGTGTAGTCCTGTTTCTCTGACTGTGACTAACTGGATGTGCTCTCTTCATCCTCTGACATGGGAGCTGGCTCGGAGCTCGTCTGCCTGGCTGTGTGTTTCCTGGACGGGGCCGCCTGTGGAGCTGGTTGACAGTTGCCTTTTGTATCTATGCTTCTTTTTCTATGTCTGCTTCTGTCTCCTTGAACCCCAGTGGGCCTCAGCAGATGGCCGCTCACACTGAGCCTGGTTCTGCTGGAGGTTTCTTCCTGTTAAAAGGGAGTTTTTCCTCTCCACTGTCACTACAAGCATGCTTAGTGTGAGGGATTGCTGAAGAGTCAATGAGTCGATGCAATCAAGTGGTTTTCCTTAGATAGAAAACTTTGAATCAATGTGACTGGATGATCTGGTGAACTGGAAAGTTCCTTAAGATTACATATTGTGAATTGGAGCTATAGAAATAAACTGAATAGAATTTAAATAGAATGTAAAGAGCAGCTTATCACTCTCCTAAAAAAAAAAAAAAATTTTGGAAAACTTCAGGAGGCCAGAAAAGGAATTTATTACTCATCACTTTGCTTTCTTTAAAAAAAACATAAACATTGCAAATTCCCCCCTCTCTGCCTGTTACTCACCTCTGCATATTAACCGGCCCTCATCCTTTATCGGTGTCCTTCCTTCTCTTTTCCATCTTTAATTCAGGCCTATAAAATGTCTCGATGTGTTCTGGTTTTAGAGATGCTGCACTGACTGTTTTTCCAGCTTGTCCAAGGCTGAAGGTTGATTTTGTGCTGTCTCTAATGACAGGCCAGGCATTGGAGGCTGTTTCTCCTGAAAACGAAGAGGAGAAGCAAATGGAGCTGGAAGTGAAGAAGGGCTCATCTGGCCAAGCAGGGTTCCCTGTTCTTGGTGGTTATGAGAGCAGAACCGTTCATAAGGTATGATGAGATACCAACAGCAGCATGGCAGCCGTTACATAAGGACTCCTTCCATCTGTTGTCTCCTTTCACAGGTGAAGAGGGTCCTACCTCAGTGGCTGGCTGAGCCAGATGTGATTGACAGAGACATCAGATGCAACCTGCTCCCCATTTCTGCCCTTTCTGGACTTTCTGCTCAGCTCCTCAACAAACTGGAGGCCAATGGAATTCAGAGCTTCTTTCCAGGTATGAGGAGCATCAGTCTGAGGAATCAATCAGGATCATCTCTATGGGCCAGATTATTGTGTTTGACTCACATTGTAAGAAAGATTCCAGAAAAGACAAGGCTAGTGTGTGTGTGTGGGGGGGGGGTAGGGGGGGGGGGGGGGGGGGGGGGGGGGGGGGTTCATCTGTCTTTTTCCGTCTGCAGCGCTGACCTGAAGGCTAAAGAGCTCCTGATCAGAATGTGTGGACTCAGCAGAGATGTTAGCTGCTGGTTTTTGTCCCTAAACTTGTTCAGGTTGTGAATGGAGGGAATGATGGGCCTCTCTGCTCATTTTATTGCTCATCGCTGTTTTCTAGCTGAGCCAAACCTCACAGAGATAGATGTGCACCAAGCAGACTAAATGAAGATGGCCTACAGCTCCTGTGAAGCCTGAGGTGCAGCAGGAGGTCCGGTCTATGTGAGGACCACCTCAGGATACCAGAGAGCCTGGATCCTGGGAACCGGTCCACAGTTCAAACCCCGTTCAGGGTGGAGAGGGGAGGCAGTGTTTGGGCCGGTTCCCACTGATCCACCCTCACCCTGCAGGTTTAGCTCCAGCTGCTCTGTTAGCAGATCCAGTTCAGCACGTATTCCTCCTCCATGTTTGAGCTCTTCTCTAGCCGCTGTATCAGGAGACTAAAGAATGATGATAGACATGAGCTAACTGACAGCAGGATCTCAGCATCTGATAGGGGTGCTGCTCTAAGGCTACGTTCACCCAGCAGCCTGAAGCCACCCAAATCTGATTTTTTTTTTTTTTTTTTGCCTACATGTGATCAGGATCTGATCTTTTCATGACTGTCTGAACAACACAGATCTGATTTTTTCCAATGCGACCCAGGCCACTTGGCTCTGTGGTCCTGAATCCGATCTTTAAAAAGTGACCTGTGTCTGAGCGGCCAGGTCGCATTCATCCGACCTGAATGGCAAAAACAACCATGGCGGACGATAATGCCGCTGCATGTAGAGCAGTATTTATGTTTAACCATCTTGAAATGATTGAGTTTTTATGGTTGGGAAAGATCGCTATATGCTCTCCAGCGCTACCAACCATGCTTACGTCAGTAAACATGGATGGTAGTAACGCGCCTGCGGGACACTTAGGTTGTATGAATGTGGTTCACACAGCAGATCACAAACAAGCCACGTATATTTGAAAAGGTGAACGGCAACGCAATAAAATTGGATTTTACTAAATTCAGAATTGAGCATCAGGCCTGTGGTGCGAACGTAGCCTTAGCTTCAGAGGGCTTCAAACTTCCTGCTAAAGGGTCTAAAGGATGTTTTTAGAGCTCTGTGCTGCTGCTTGGCGTCAGAGCACAGGGACACGGGACACGTCCTGACCAGTGTTTTTTAACCCCGTGCTGTTTTAGATGTTTCTCTGCTTCAACACACCTGATTTAGATGATAGCAGTTCAACCAAGCTGTTCATCTGCTATAAATCAATATCAGGTGTGTGAAAGCTGGGAAACATCCAAGACCTGCAGGGCAGCATGGCCCAGGGAGCAGGGATCATTCATACTCAAAGCCCAGCTTTATTAAAGCTGCTTTCCACCTGAACATAGCAGGTTAACACGTGTTTTATAGAAACAGAATTCCAGCATCAGGCGACATAAGCAGACATAAACAGTGCCATCTGCTGGCAGTACCACAGAACTACCAGAAAGGCAGATGGTAACAGATGTTAGGTTATGGGATAGAGCTCCACAGCTTGGTGTGGATGAAGCCCAAATGATTACAGATCAATGAACCGAGCTGCAGCCTCTTTCCCACTGAACATAGCAGGTTAACATGTGTTTCAAATATGGCTCCATCCGCTTTCAACCAGCATTTAGCTCCCTTCTAACAGGATCATAAAAGCTGGTCTAACCCCTCGCTGGCTGCTGCATGGCCTCTGCCCCCCGCCACTGTGTGTCTGGTGACATCATCACACTCGGTTAGCATTGATGATGTTACCAGTGCGACAGGAATCAGGAGAATTTACTCTTTGGAATCAATAAAAGATGCCTGCGACTTTAAGGATTCATTAACTGGTTTATCTAATACATCATAATCTTATTTAAATTCGCCAGCGCAGTCTTTGATGATCTATTATCTGAAATACTGTAACAGAGGAGGGTGAAATGAAGCGGTGAATACACCTGAAGTGAAATAGGTGCTTTGTTCCCATGTCAGTGCAGGCAGAGGTGATCCCGGCCATCTTGGACGGAGCTAAGCATGGCCTACTGATGGGTAGAGGAGGTCACAGACCCAGGGATATCTGTGTGTCCGCTCCCACAGGCAGCGGCAAGACGCTCTCATTTGTCATACCTGTGATCCAGGTGAGCAGCGGACATCTGAGTGATGCTCTGAGGAAGTCTTCCTCACCCGCTGCAGCTCTGCCAGTGACATGTTTGTTCTCTGACAGGCGCTGATGGAGCGGGTGGTGTGTGAAATCCGGGCTCTGGCGGTGCTTCCAACCAAAGAGCTGGCCCAGCAGGTCAGAACAGGACTGTGTGCTTCCCTGGATCCTGCAGGGAGGAGTTCAGTGCAGAAGATTCAACCTCAGGGACAAAAGATTCCTGTAATTATTATTGTCTGCTTCAGGTTTACAGAGTGTTTGCATCGTATGCTGAAGGAACGCCCCTCAGGGTGGCGCTGCTGGTGGGTCAGAGGTCACTGGCTGCAGAGAGCGCATCACTGTCAGAGCAAAGGTGAGGAAGAACAAAGGCAGCAGCTCAGAGAAAAGAAACCATCTCTAAGCTGTGAAGCTCATTTCATTCACTTCCCAATGTACTGCTATAGATCATAGATATTAAGGAGAAGGATCTATAGGGCTCTATCTTTGGAGAAGCCTTCCACACTCCATCCATCCATCCATCCATCCATCCATCCATCCATCCATCCATCCATCCATCCATCCATCCATCCATCCATCCATCCATCCATCCATCCATCCATCCATCCATCCATCATCCATCCACCTAGCTCCCATTTAGTCCTTAGGGGCCGTTTCTCCAGCAGTCTATAGATGAGAGGCGGGGCAAAAGTCATTTGTTCTTGAATTGAGCAAAAAAATGAGACACTTATAATTATAAGTAATTATAAATAATTTAATTGTCTTTTTTCAAATGAATATTATTTAATTGTCATATTTTAAGAGAAAAAACACTCATTCCATTGTCAGATCATCTAATTAATCTACTGAAATGAAGGGTAAATACACTAAATTTAAGACATTTCTGCTTATTTCTAGATCGTTTTGTTGTTTGCCAGTCTGGTAATGAGGTTGATCACTGTTGCCCATCATCTAATTCACTTTATGCAGAATTCTTCTCTGTGAAATCACCTCCATCTAGAGGAGTTCCTTCTTTATCAGCTGGTTGAGCTTCTTTCAGTCATTCGCTCCGATGCTCTTACCCCATCAGATGACGGAGGCAGAGCTCAGACTCTCCACTGCTTTCATATAACGACCATTTTGACGTTTTAAAAATGGTTATGTGTGATCAGTCAGGTTGCTTTTAATAAGAGTTGTAGGAATGGCTTTAGCTGGATTCCCTGCAGTGATGGATCCATGTTATGTTTCAGAGGGAGTGTCAGGCGCGCTACGGCAGACATAGTTGTTGCTACTCCTGGTAGACTGGTCGATCTCATCAACAAAAGCTCAGGATTATGTTTGGATCATCTACGCTTTCTGGTAAGCCACTAAAGCTGTTACCATCGATGTGAAAAGGCAGCACTCCTTTATCTGACATTCACGTTTTCCTGTCAGATAATCGACGAGGCGGACAGGATGATGGACAGCATGCACCAGTCGTGGCTCAGCCAGGTGGTGAGCGCGGTGCACCGCTCGCCACCTGGAAGCCAAGGCAGAGCCATCTTCAGGAGAACAAACCCAGCCTGCATCACAGCAGCCAGGTGGGTCCCTCACTGATGGCTGCTTTTCTGCAGGGAATCCAATAAAGTTTACCGATCCATACAGCCAGGAGTGATTGCAGAGACACATGATTTAATGTTCATCAGTTTACATTTGTTTTCTGAAAGTATTTATGTCCTTCAGTGAAGGACAGACTGATATTAAGCCTTTGCTGTGTGTCAGTGATCTAATGATCTCTGTTCCCTACATCATAATAACCAACAATGAGAATTATTTAATAAGAAAAAAAGAGTAATAGCAGAGCATCGATTAAAAACTGTTGTGATTAAAAGTGAGCCTGATCACTGGGTGATCAGATAAACGCTCAGATATCTGATTTATCTTAGATCAGTGAAGCTGCTCTCTCTCAGTGGGTAACCACTTAATATTATAAGTGTTCTGATGGCGTTTTAGAGAAATATGACATGTAAAAAAGTCAAAAAATAAATAAATTCAAACTTTGAGTTTGGAGAGAAGGACGATGGAGAGAACAGAACAATGCAGAACATGAACTCCGGGGAAGATGTCACCACCATAGATAAAGGTGTCAAACATAAAAGGCGCTGGGCATGGCTGGAGGAGACGGGGTGAGATGGCGAGATATTTAGGAGCCGCTGCAGGACATTAGATGAACCAGGCGCTTGCTTCTGCACGCTGTGCTCCAGGAGCGATCATTTAGGCATCCAGCAGCAAAAAGCTGCTACACACCCATGAGTTAGACCCTGCTCATCCAGCTGCTGTTCCCGCACGTAACATGTTTGCTTGGAGCTACGGCAACAGCTGATTTACCAGAGTCAATAACTGACCGTGTATGCGAGGTAGAAATAAAGGTGTGTTTTACTTCCCAAACACAACGCTTAGCAGCAAAACCGGATATCAAAAGAAATGTGGTTCATGCAAGTAGCAGATATAGATGTACTTTGGCCTTCTTCTGGCCATTTTTGGTCAAAAGTCATATTTAGTCTTCAATCATTAATGCAATCTCTGATCCCATGCCCCCACACTCCCCATGGCTTGAAAATACACACAAACGCATATTTATATGTATATATATATATATATATATATATATATATATATATATACAGTATATAGTTTCTTGCCTGTGTCAAAAGTTCAGGCTCAGAATTTATTTTTTTTCTATAATCACTGTATAAGAAGCATTCTGATGGCATTTTAGCGATTATCAAAAACATAATGTGCACAAATAAGGAATAGTTGTATTAACCATACATGTAAACAGAGTTTTCCCCAGGAACTTAGGGCCCTGAAACTGCCTGGTATTGCCTAATAGTAACCTCCCCCCTGCCTTTGTCCCTGTCTCAGCCTGTCTCCTGCTCAGATCCCGCTTCAGAAGCTGCTTTTTTCTGCCACACTCACCCAGAACCCAGAGAAGCTCCAGCAGCTGGGCCTCCACCAGCCCCAGCTCTTCAGCTCTGCTCACAGCCCCTCCAGCATCACATCAGACCCCACCCAGAGAGCCGACGGCTTTGACTTCCCCCAGGGCCTGACGGTAGGTGGACGTCTTGCTCTTCACAACAAACTGGAAGTTGATGAAAACAGCCTGACGCTCTGGTCCCTTTTATCTGCAGGAGTATTATGTTCCCTGTACCATGAACAGGAAGCCTCTGCTCGTCCTTCACTTCATCCTGTATTTAAAGCTTTTCCCCATCCTCTGTTTCACCAACTCCAGAGAGACGGCTCACAGGTTTGAATTCTATTCAGTTTATTTCTATAGCGCCAATTCACAACATGTAATCTTAAGGAACTTAACAGTTCACCAGATCATCCAGTTAGATTGATTCAAAGTTTTCTTTCTAAGGAAAACCAGCTGATTGCATCGACTCATTGACTCTTCAGCAATCCCTCACACTAAGCATGCTTATAGCGACAGTGGAGAGGAAAAACTCCCTTTGAACAGGAAGAAACCTCCAGCAGAACCAGGCTCAGTGTGAGCGGCCATCTGCTGAGGCCCACTGGGGTTCAAGGAGACAGAAGCAGACATAGAAAAAGAAGCATAGATACAAAAGGCAACTGTCAACCAGCTCCAGGATATGTAAAGAGAGCACACCCAGTTAGTCACGGTCAGAGAAACAGGACTACACTGAAAAACAGGCCGATCTCCAACATCTATAAACAAAGGTGTTGATGGAAGCATCACACCTGATATTTCTCTCCAGGATGGAGTCACAGCCAAACAGGAACAGACCAGATGAAGCTACTATGAGAAAAAGCAGAGAGAGCAGAACGTTAGAGATTGAACTAACAGATTCTGCAGAGTGGGAGAATAGAGATAGAATGATGAAAAAGGGGTCCCTATGTCCTCCAGCAGTCTAAGCCTATAGCAGCATAACTATAGAGATAGCTCAGGATAACCTGAGCCACTCTAACTATAAGCTTTATCAAAAAGGAAAGTTTTAAGCCTAGCCTTAAAAGTAGACAGGGTGTCTGCCTCACGGACTAAAACTGGTAGTTGGTTCCACAGGAGAGGAGCCTGATAACTAAAAGATCTGCCTCCCATTCTACTTTTAGAATTTCTAGGAACCAGTCTAGATGGAGGGTGAAGTGCTCTGTTAGGAACATAAGGAACAGGTTTGAAGGTCTAACTCTCCCTTCAGGCCTGTTGATGTGTGCTGTCTGACTCCTCTGCATCCCTCTGTGTTCAGACTCCACCGCTTGGTGCAGCTGTTTGGTGGAGTTCATGTAGCCGAGTTCTCCTCACGACTCTCTCCTGGTGAGAGGAAAAGCACCCTGAAGGACTTTGAACAGGGGAAGATCCAGCTGTGAGTCTCTTCCTGCACCTGATTCTCCTCATTCATTCTCCCTGACCTTCATTCAAAGCGCTGATGTTCATCCTGAGCCATTAGCTAAAGCTCCTGTTATTCTATCCAGCTGCATGTCGCTCTCTAAAAGTCTGATCTGATGTTTTTCTCCTGATCTACTTCAGGTTGATCAGCACAGATGCAGCTGCCAGAGGGATCGATATAAACGGGGTCAAATGTGTTCTCAATTATGACGCCCCGCAGTACATAAGGACCTACGTACACAGGTTAGCAGTGCAGTCTCTAAATTAGAAATCTCTCCATTTTCTCTATTAGTAACATGATTTCATGGTTTCCATGGTTCATCATGTAGGGTTGGAAGGACAGCGAGGGCTGGAAAGTCTGGACTGGCCTTCACCTTTCTGCTGAGAGTTCAGGTAAGTTCACTGGTCAGAAAATAAACATCGATTCTGAGATTGAGTCGGACCTGACAGGATTTACTCCAGGAGGCTTGGTTAGCTCTGACTGAGATAGAGTCCAGGTCTATTGTAGTCAGACTATGCAACCATTCAGCAGCAATTCCCTGGGTCTGACAGGAAGAGAGACGCCGTTACAAAGTAAAACACTTTGGGGAAAATACTAAATCAAATCTGTTAATCAGTTTGGAGTCACACAGAGCGAATATAGCAGGAAGGACAGACTGGACAGAAACAATCAATGAAAGATTTTAAAAAGCAGAATAGTGGACCTATAATAGGAGCTCAGGAGGACAGGAAATGGATGCAGTAGTGATCCTCTTTGAGCCTCACAGAAACCAACCAGTGAGGGGCGGATGGAGCAGCAAAGCAGCTCATCTCTCTCACCTCTTAATGAAATAAAAAACAAAAAAAACTCAGATAAACCTCCCAGATCTCTCTCTGAGAATGACCCCTCTGCCTCTGTCACCATGGAAACCGCCCCACGCCGTTTATGGATGGGTTTTAAAAAATTCTCTGTTCTGGTTTAAGAGATGTTGCACAGACTCGTTAGGTGGGGCTTTGCTCTGTAGCTGCGCTGTTTCTTTTATTTTTATAACATGCTCAGTGGTCCATGGTGCATGTTCTCCCTGAGCATGTGCGGGTTCTCTCCAGGTACTCTGTGGACCATTTTCTGATGATGGTGAAGGCTTTCAAGCTGACTAGCATGTCTCCAGTGACCGCTAATGAAAATGGTTTCTGCTCCACTTTGCCCACAGGCCAACTCTGAACTATGATCACAGAGAGCGTTTACAGTGTCCCCCACAGGGCATGCTGGGAAATTTCAATTCCATTCCATTTTTGAAAGGAGCTCCAGAGCTCCCTCTACCCCAGTGACCATTAAGATAAAACATAAACATTACTATTATCATGGTTTATGACCAAACAAGTAGAAAAACGTTTTTAAAATCGGTTATCAGCTTTCCAGCATGTCGCTAAAGACGTGAAAAACCATAGATGTGCAGCTGACAGCTTTGTTATTGCACATTTACCATTTACTGTACCACTGGAACATGAAGTCATTTATGGAAAATGGCAAACATCAGGTTTCTGTGATTGTACAAAATATCTTTGATATTTTCAGATGCAGTTTATTGAGTCAGTCAGTTAGAAACAACTCCTGGATCGATCACATGACCTTCTGGAAACGACACGCTCACCGATGCAGAGTTTAGCTCTATGGGCTCCGCGCATCGCTGTTAATGGAGCCATCACTAGTGGTTACCCATGCTGCATCTTCCTTATTCATTTAAGGTGTTTATTATGCAGGGTGAGTTTTAACTAGTTAGTTTGATAATTTTACTTCTGTACGGTTTTAAAGGCTCAGCAGACTGAATGAAGATAGAAACATGTTTTAACCTGCAGTTCTCCAGCCTCACATGTTCACTTTATGTTCTGGAGCCTCATTTTCTCCATGAGCTGAAGCTCTGGGCCATCTGGTATTATTCCTTTAAGCCCACAGGGAGCAAATTCCACCTGAAATACATCTGTGAATTAGAGCAAGTTCAGCTCCCAAACTATAAACTGGAAATACAAGTTTGTATCTGTGTAACAGAAGGCGTTGAGGAATATTTTTCAGGTGGAAGCATTATTTTAAATGTCACCATGTCTGATTTATAGGGGATTAAAGAATGAAAAATTTTTTAGCCTAGCCAAATTTTGTTTCCATTTTAAACTGTGGATGAACCCTCAGACTTTATAGACTTTATAGATCTACATCTTGACTATAACTCAAGCTAATTTGGACTGAATGAGTTGAAGCATGTTTGTTCCAGAAATGGGATTTTGGCACAGTGGTGCAAAAAGTGCAAAAATGCATATTTTCCACTCATAAAAGGGAATCTGTTCAGACAAATATGCTGATTTCCAATATTGGAGACATTCTGCATGAGACAAAGTCTTTGCTCCTTAGATATAGCCGTTAGTTCATTGAAATTGACCAATAATAAAACCAAACTGAATAGAAATATAGAATAGATGCAAGCTTATGTAACGCGTGCCGGTTACATCACCTGAAACGGTCGCACAATGACCTCTGACCCCTCCTTGGAAAGGTCTGAGCCTCTAGTTGCCAATGATGGCGGCCATTAGGGGGCGGTGCTAAAATGAATACCTGCTGTTGCATTACTCCCACAGAGTCACATTTTATTTAAATTTTGTTAAATCTAATTTTATTTGTTTACACAGCTATAAAACACAAAGTATTTGTGAAAGAAATATTTTGAAACCTGTTTAAGAAATGTTAAAGCCCCATTTGAAAGGCGTGTGGATGAAACACCATGTGACTGTGCTTCGCCCATTTCTATAAATAGATAAACATGAGCAGGTGTGAGTTGGGCCCTGTGCTGTGGGTTAAATATCCGCTAAACGCTGTGCTCTGAAAAGCCTTTAGCCGGTATTAAACACTCATTTTTATTTTACAAGGTTAGGAATGACTTTAAACTGCTTCCTTCTGCACTGACTTCAGTAAAGGTGTTCAGGTAATTCTGTTCTTAAGGACAAACTTTACTCACATCTGGACATTATCACGTCTAGTTTTGATAAAACTAGGATAAATAAGATGAATGTGTTTCCCTTAAACAGAATAAAGCAAGGTGAAGGTAAAAAGTGACTCCAGATGAAAAAAGAAAACCTGTTATTTTATGGAAGAACCAGTTTAGAAGTGGAAACTTTTTAGTGAAAAAGCAACTTGTGTTTTTTTTCATTAAATACCAATCTAGCATCAGTGCTTTGATTGTTTTAGTTTGAAGGAGCGTTTTAGTTATTGTCTCCTTTCTAATAAACGCCTCAAAGAAAGAACCAAACCCACCTGGATTTCTGCTCCCACCCTCAGGAAACCATTTTCCTTCAGATGGTGAAGGATGCAGGAAGTCCCGGGATCCAGAAGCAGATCATTAAACCGGAGAGTCTAAAGGGGATGGAAGCCCGCTATGAGGAGATCCTGCAGGAGCTGGCTGATGTCATCAAGGTGAAATGAGTCACGATGGCCCCGCTAGCCAGACGCTGCTGCAACCTTTCTGGTTTTAACATCTTTTGTTTTTCTTCCTTTCTGCAGGAGGAGAAATCAAGACGTTGAAGCGTCTACTTTTCTGCTCAGGGAACTTCAGTTGGAATACCATCCTCGGAACCGTTTTTTCTTATGCTTTTCCAGATATGATGATTCAGCAGTTTAAGTTACTGAGTGGAGATAAAGGATACTTAGCTTTTAGCTAACAGAATAAAAGCTCATAGAAATACTGTCTGTGTTTTCCTCTTTCTTCCCTGGCATCTAAAAACACTGCTTACTTTAAAAACATGTTGCTATTCTGCACAGAACTGCCTACAGTGTTCTATTCAGTTTATTTCTATAGCAACAATTCACATCATGTCATCTCAAGGCACTTTCCAGTTTACCAGATCATCCAGTCAGATTGATTCAAAGGTTTCTATTTAAGGAAAACCAGCTGATTGCATCGACTCATTGACTCTTCAGCAATCCCTCACACTAAGCATGCTTGTAGCGACAGTGGAGAGGAAAACTCCCTTTGAACAGGAAGAAACCTCCAGCAGAACCAGGCTCAGTGTGAGCGGCCATCTGCTGAGGCCCACTGGGGTTCAAGGAGACAGAAGCAGACATAGAAAAAGAAGCAGAGATTCTTTAACACTTTACAATTTAATATCATCCCTTCTTCGATACATTAACAAAGTCGGCTGCTTTTCTCTCAGCTCTTTTGCCAGAGAGGAAAATGATGGCAGCAAGAATTCTATTGAAACTTCTACTCTCAACTACCAACATGTAGAGTGGCGTCCTGGTGGTTTGGGCATAGAGCTTGGAATCCTGAGTTCTGCTCCCTGGGTGCTGCACAATGTTAGCCCACTGCTCTCCAAGGGATGGGTTAAACACAGAGTTCATTTTGTTGCTCTGTACTTCTGACAGTATAATCACAATAAAAAGCTGAGTCAAAATTGATAAGTTTCTTTCATCTTTGAACCTATCAAAAATGACGGGGCTGCAAAAATGAATGCAGCCAATAACAAAGAAATCCACTTGGCAAATTCCAAACTCAAAACAGGGAAACCCATGGGCCTGAGGGCTGTATGCCAGAATGCTACAAGATTTTAAAGAATTGTCTCTGATCTTTGCAAACACATTTAACTGGATTATGAGAAATTGCTAAATACCCCCCCCCCCCATGTAAAGATGGGGTGCCTGATCCTGCTGGTGAAGACTCCTCTGGAAGGGCAGGAACAGAATAACCTGGCAGTTCCACACCAATCAGCGTACTAAACTTAGATTACTATTACACAGCAGTAATAGCATGCAGACTCCATATCTATCTACCAGCTCTGATGTGGAGAACCTAGATCACATCAGACAATCACTCCATGGATTAGAACAGGAATGGGACTGTTTAAGGAAACTGTGTTTCCACCTTGAAACTCTCTCTCTCCGGTTCTTTTTCCTAAGAACAGATCACTCAGGACACACTCTTTGAATAACACTTCATAATGTGTATGTATTAAATAACCAGGAGACATGACAACAGATTCTGATAGAAATTATAATCTTAGTCAGATCAGAGAGGTTGCTTAGAGTTACAGAAGGCAGCTGCTTTCCCTCCGGGCTCACTTCTCAGGAAGTGGACGTGAGTCACAGTTAGAAAAGTATTTTATACATCTCCAGTCTGCCGCATCTAATCTTTGCTGCATACATAATGAGATGACGTTTCATCCTAACAGAGGAACTGTCCTAATTAGATCAACTAGTTTGGACATTAGGTCTGACATGCAACAGGCAGGGATTATTAGGTTTAACAGACTCGCACTTCATTCATAATAATAATCCTAACAGGACAAAGGCTCTACTGGTTGGACTTGATGAGGCCTTTGAGTGTTAGATGGCTTATCCTCTACAAAGTTCTGCTTTAGTAGACCCTGGTGTTCTGATCTCTCCCCTGGTATTCACTCTTTCCAAATATTAAGACAGACTAAAGAGACTGAAGGTATTGTGGTGGGTAGAGAGGAACTACAGCTGGCACTGTTAGTGGATGACCTTCTGGTCTCTAAGGGAACTAGTGATGTGTCCTTTAACCCTGATGTGTCGCTGCATGCATGGAGCCCATAGGAACCAAAACAATCTGTAACAGTGATGCATCTGCTAAAAAAAATGTCTCATCTTTTGCGATTTATCGTTTAAATGATCCAGAATTTTGGAGCCTAAAAGGAATAGTAACGTTTCAAGTTTAATTTCCTCATTGTGTCATCCTTTTCCTCTCAGTTTTCACTCAACTATCTCAATTTAAGTTAATTTCAAACTGACTCTTAATTAATTTACTGTTTTCACTGTAGTTATGTTTTAGAAATATGATTTAAAATCCACAAGCATCCTCATTCACATTTCTCCCTAAATTTCACCTTATATGTTTACATTATTTATTGGCTGCATCTAAAAATATCAAAGACATTTTCAATTTTAACATAGATATAAAATAATACAATATAACCTCTAATAATTTCAATGATATAATTGTTCTAGGTCATCAAATCCATTCAGTTTATTCCAATCAGCTGCCTGTAGTGGCTTTAAATGTCCAGCAGGTGTCAGTATTCTGTGAGACAGTATCAATAGTTTGGCTTCCAGATGCCTCATTAACATCACTAGAGAACCAGAGGAATCATTTGGGAAGCTAATGTCTCTCTTCATTGATGTGGGGAAATGATCTGGCTATAAACTAAACAGAAACACAAGTGATTCCCCTGAAACACAGAACACATAGTTCCAACTTAACTGGAAATCAGACTCCTTAAAATACTATAACTGTCACTAACAACATCTCCATCCCATAATAATGACCCACCTGCACTGCTATTAAAATCTGATCCCAGAATCGACACTCTGTACTTAAGGAAAAGGAGGTGCAATGATCCCATGTTTAGAACATTATTACGCAGGTTATTCCTTTGTAACAATGGCAGAACCCAGATATGAACCCTAAATGGAAAGACGTAGAATATAAATCATGTCCAGTTTCCTCTCAAAGACGTCACTGGCTGCAACAAACCTTAAAAGTAGTAAAGAGTTTTAACTGAAATATGTTTGACTTGAAGCTGAATGATTTTGTTAATAAACTCTTATATTTTGAACAGAAGTTGTGGTGAATTTATTCCATATATGTGCAGAATTATCTGTTTGACTGTGATTACTGCTCGAATCACTCTTTCATTTGTTGCTAACGAACAGCCAGTAGTCAGAATATTATCAGATGAAATAGGATATTTATAACTGGAAGTGGGGGATTGCTGGAAAACATGATAAACACCCCTTCAAGTAAATGCAAAAATCTTAACACTGGATGTTGGAGAAACTGTGGATCATTAGAGGCTGACCATGTCATGCACTCTTTTAATGCCCAACTTTAAATACCAATACTGGTGAGGAATTCACCGCACTCTGAAAGCTCTTTACGGTTCAGATTAATAACCATTTGGTACGCATCTATCTGTTGAGACTATGGATGAACATAAAGCTGCTCCAGGCTCTGCTACAAGCCAGTTAAATAATCAACAGGAAAGGTTAAATACTCTGCAGCCGTGTGGAGCATCAAAGATGGAGCAGAAGCTGAGAGCTGATGTAGCGCTTTGTGGCATGCTGTGGAAACAATCATTTGATCCTGAAGGTCAACAAAACAAGATGATGATTGGAGATTTCAGAAGAAACAGGAACAAGTTGAATCCTGTTAACATCCTGGGAGAAGAAGTGGAGGAGTAGAAATCCCTTAGTGTTCACCTGGACAACAGACTGGACTGGAGACACAACTGGAAGCCGTCTACAGGAAGGACAGAACAGACTGGACTAATAGAGGAAGCATAGGTCTTTCTGTTTGCAGCAAGATGCTGCAGATCTTCTATCAGTCTGTTATGGAGATTCTGATCTCTTCCTCCATCATCTGCTGGGGTAACAGCATCAGAAGTAATGACTGAAAGAAGCTCAACCAGCTGAGAAAGAAGGACGGCTCTGCTCTAGAAACTCCTCTAGAACCTCTGCAGATGATTTCACAGAAAAGAATTCTGCATAAAGTGAAGAAGATTATGGAGAACAATGACCACAGAGTGTCTTCAGTCAGAGGGTTCTACAGATCCGGTGGAAGTCAGACCTCTACAGGAGATCCTTCCTGCCTACAGCATCAACACCTGGATAAAAAATTAGTTACTGCAACATTTAATCCCCCTTTAGGATTAAAAATTGACTTTTGAATCTGTATAAACATATATATATATATATATATATATATTTGAATTCAGAAAGCTTCCTGGAGAGGTGGCGAAATGTCTTCAAATCTTGGAAACCAAGTCCAGTGGATATTTTTTTTAACTTTTACGGAAAAACATATGTGCATTTTGAGCTGGTCTTCCAGCCAAACCTCATTATTGTGATTGAAAAAAGACTTAATTCTTCTTGATACAGGTGCTTCCCTGTTCATCTTTAGTTGGAACGCCATTAGACCTTAGACTGGTTGGATGTGTCTTTATTTTATTTTGTTGTTTTAGTCTAAAAGAACATGATTTATTCTCAGTCAGATGGTGCATTGCTGTCAGTCCCATTTAGAAGTCTTCCTCTTCATGTATCGCTCTCCTTCGCTGTCTATGGCTTCATAAAGCTGCTGGTCATTTTCTTTCACAGCGTGCAGATAGCCCAGGTAACCCACGCACAGAGTGATGGCCGCCAGTCCAAATAGCATCACTGGTTTATTCTGGAAAACAACACAGCTATGTTAGAGGACTGAACAGAAAAAAAACATCAAAATATAGGTGTTTTATGTCCTTTTTATTTCTATGCATTAGTTTGAGAGATATTTTCACATATCTGGGAAAAAAAAAACATTTCTAACAAGATGACATTCTTCACATCTAGAATAAACTTTCTGGATTAATTTTAGGTCTCCAAATTGTTACTGTTTGTAATTTGTATTATTTTGATCAGAAAGAAACATATTTTCTATATTATTAATACATAATCAATCTGATTCTAACTAGGAATAGATATTTTTTATGCTTTAGTGATCTACAAATGGAACATCATAGAGACTGCAGTTAATAAAAACGGCCTGCCATACAGGACTACATATAAACACATTATCTTGAGCAACAGTCTTCTCTGTCACCATCTTCCTCTCCTTTTGCAGCTGTTGCTTTGTTTCTCTGTCCTTTAAACACATTCTCCATTTATGTATTTTTATTTTATTTCTGCATTAAAATCTCTAGTTCCAGTGGGGTGAAATAGGCACTTCCTGTTGCCATGGTGACTCATGTATCTGTGCTCCACTGATGATGGCTTTTCACATTCTGAGTGGAAGCAGCTTTTATCAAACTGAAAACTCGGTTTACAACCTTAGGCTGGATCGTTTCAGAGTGGAAGAAAAATGAATATCAATGTAATTTAGTAACTTTTTAAATCTACTTTTTAACTTTTCAATCAGCTTTTTACCTTTTTTTCTTGACTTAACTTTTCCCCCCAACCTAATATACAGTAGTTAATATATCATTCAGGGCTTATCTAATTGGTCAAATGCCAAAATAAGATGTACAGCCATGTATCTTTGCTGAATGGCTGGATATAGATCTAGTGCTTCTAGACCTCACCGAGGTCTGCCTGGCTGTGTGTTTCCTGGACGGGCCGCCTTTTACAGCTGCTTTTTGTATCTATGCTTCTTTTTCTATGTCTGCTTCTGTCTCCTTGAACCCCAGTGGGCCTCAGCAGATGGCCGCTCACACTGAGCCTGGTTCTGCTGGAGGTTTCTTCCTGTTCAAAGGGAGTTTTTCCTCTCCACTGTCGCTACAAGCATGCTTAGTGTGAGGGATTGCTGAAGAGTCAATGAGTCGATGCAATCAGCTGGTTTTCCTTAGATAGAAAACTTTGAATCAATCTGACTGGATGATCGGGTGAACTAGTTTGACATGTGTTGTGAACTGGCGCTCTAGTACTATGTCCTGTCTAATCTACTGTAAGCTGTCTGCCATGTCATGCTGCCTTAGTATAAATAGTGTTAAATCTCACAGGTTTAATGAACAGTTCAGGGTTAACAGCCCTGAACAGGGTGGTGGTCTGGGCTCCTCTCAGGCCGGGCGTCCGGAAGCCTCGCTCCTCGGAAATCTTCTTATTTTCTTCTTTTTCCATCTTTTCGCTTTAAAACTCCTTACAGCCCATCCACATGAGCCATAACAACGACAGAAGGGCCGCTCAGCTATCAGACGGCGGTCTGAATGACATTTGTTTACTTGGGAATGGCTGCCTCCTTCTTCTTCTGCGGACTGCCCTGATGCAGACTAACGCCATGCCGCCACCTGCAGGATCTGAGTGGCATTGACCGCGATCTACCAAAGGAGAATTACAAGGATTTCTTTAGGTTTAGATATGAATTCAGTACATCATTATATAAACCTCAAAGGCAGTGAGCTCATTAAAGCGGGGCCCTGAATTTATTATTTTTCAATTATTATTTAATTATTTTAGCTTGTCACATAAATTCAATTCAGTTAAATTTATTTCCAATTCACATCACTTCATCTCAAGGCACTTTCCAGTTCACCAGATCATCCAGTCAGATTGATTCAAAGTTTTCTATCTAAGGAAAACCAGCTAATTGCATCGACTCATTTACTGGAAGGGAGTCCCTCACACCAGAGTTGGAGGATCTGGAGTCAACAAGTCACTTCTATGTCATGTTTTTGTTCTACCCAGCCACTGAACCGGGTGATTCCAATCTGGTTTATCCATGTAAATCGAACTCACCAGGAGGAGAGGAGAGCCCCCGCATCGGAAGCAACGGTTCTGAGCTGCTCTGATGATGTTCTGTTTTTGACGGTTCTATATAGTTCTCTGTTTGTGTTCATCGGGAAAGATAGATTTAATATACTAGGTCCAGGTTTCCCAGGAGATAGTCCTGGGTGTGTAATGATAAGTGTAAACTACAGTAATATAACATGAACAGGCAAACACTTAAAGTAATTTCAATTAACGTGAATGGGGTAATTAAATCCAGCTAAAAGGAGACAGATATTAACAAAACCTGTGACTGATCATCTCATCAGGAGGACCACAGTACTTAAGCTGTCTTCAGACCTTGCCTCGACGCCGCAGTGTTTAATCAGTTTGGTTAGCACCTAAGCCTAGAACCTCCTGAGAACTTTGCTATCTCTGAGTCCAGTTTGGATTCTAACCTTTTGTCTCTGCTTCCAGGTTACTTGTTTTTCTCCTGTGAAGCTCTGGAAGAGCTTAACCTGCCGAGCCTGCCCTCTGAGCCAAACCTGAAGACTCTCTTCTGGATTTCCAAGTAGCTCTGGATTTAGAGCTGGGAACTCAAACCAAGGTCAACACCCTCACTAGAAGTAAGACGCTGAAACAGTTATCGGACTCTGCTGAACCAAACCATCTCCGGACCCAACAGTTCCTCTCCCAAAGTCTCTTCTACGCATCTCAAGGTACAAACCAGAAACTCTCAAGATCAATTCCAACCAAGCCAACGCTAACTGAACTGTCTCCCTCACAGACTCCAGTGAACCAGTCGCCAGGCCTGAACCAGCAAATTGTACATTTACTACGTGCTTGTGTAACAATAAACTTGTTAACTTTTCCCCTGAGTCCGTTGTGTTCTGCATCGTGGGCCTCTCAGTAAACCCATCATGACAGATTCATCCAAAAGCCTAGTTACTACGCTATTGCATAAGAAAATTAATGCCTTAGTGACAGAACTTGCTATTCTAGATTTGTAGAGAGATTTCTACCCATCCAGCCTTGACGATACTTTTTATTCACACCCACATGATGTTTATTCCAGGATAGATTACCTTTTTTATATTGAAGAGAGACTGCCATCAAATTCATGGCTGTGATATTAGAAGCATTGATCTATCGGATCATGCCCCCCCTCTCCTGCACTGTAGATATTATTGATAACCCAGGTAGAACTTTATGGAAGTTAAATACAGGTATTTTAAATAATCCAAGATTCATGACCCAAATGAAAGAGGAAATAAAAAGGTTCCTCGAAGAAAACAACAACAGCGAGGCGATTCAGCTACAGTATGGGATACTTTAAAAGCAGTTTTCAGAGGGAGAAAAATATAATTCTCTGCCCATGAAAAGAAACAAAAACTATTAAGACTGATAGATCTTAATCAAGAACTGAAAAAATCCTCAAACGGAACATAAAAAAGAACAAAATCCAGAAATATTTAATAAAATAAAAACAGGAGATAAATCTAATATAGGAAATTGAAAAAAAGATGATATTCACAAGACAAACTTATGAGTCTGGAACAAAATCACTTAAAATCCTGGCAAGAAAAGTGCAAAAGCAACGAACAGACAACACAATATACAAAATAAGGAATATGGACTCTAAAACTATACAGTTCAAACAACATGAAATACAAAGAACCTTTAGAAAATACTACAAGCGCCTGTATACACAACCCTAATTGGAAGATGATCAGCAAATGGAATAATTTGTTAAATCTCTCTATGTACCATCTATAACAAAACAACATATTAACAGCCCCTATTACTGAGATAGAGCTATCCAAGGCCATTTCCAACCTAAAAGGAAACAAATCACCAGGCCCAGACGGCTTCTGTTCAGAGAGGTACAAGACATTTAAAGCCGAGCTAGTGCCAACCCTCCTCTGAGCCTGTAATACGACATTAACAGATGCTAAAATACCTCCCTCTTGGAGTGAGGCGGTGATCTCTGTCATCCCCAAAGAAGGAAATATAAATAAAAGTGTAGTTCCTACAGGTCTATCTCGGTGCCGAATGTTGACTACAAACTTTATGCAACCATCCTCCCCAGAAGAAGACTGGACAAAGTTCTCCCTCAGATTATACACAACGATCGGGCTGGATTTATCTCACAAAGACAGACTCACCACAACTTTAGGCATCTTTACATAGATTACATCATATCCAAAACAATAATATTCAAGCCTGTTTAGTTATAGATGCAGAGAAGGCCTTTGATTCGGTAAGTTGGCCTTTCTTATATAAAGTCATGAAGAAATTTGGCCTGGATAGTAATTTTATTAAAGGTCGGTACATTATATAACAAACCATTGTTTAACAGGGCTGAATGGTTTGCACTATATAGAGCCCCTAGCCATAATGACAAGACAGACTCAGAATATTAAAGGCATCTCCATTAATGGAGAGGACCATAAGGTGGTGCTATATGCTGATGACGTGCTGGTTCATTTAAGCAATCCCCCTGAATTGCTCCCCAAATTATTGACCGCCTTAGAAAACTTTGGTAATTATTCTGGATATAAATTGAACATACAAAAGACAAATTCTCACCATTAACTACAGGTGCTGGTCATAAAATTAGAATATCATGAAAAAGTAGATTGATTTCAGTAATTCCATTTAAAAAGTGAAACTTGTATATTATATTCATACATTACATACAAACTCATATATTTCAGATGTTTATTTTGTTTAATTTTGATGATTACAAATGACAACAAATGAAAATCTCAAATTCATCATATCAGAAAATTAGAATATTGTGAAAAGGTTCAAAATTGATGGCCCCTGGTGCCACACTCTAATCAGCTAATTAACTCAAACCACCTGCAAAAGCCTTTAAATGGTCTTTCAGTCTAGTTCTATAGGCTACACAATCATGGGGAAGACTGCTGACTTGACAGTTGTCCAAAAGACGACCATCGACACCTTGCACAAGGAGGGCAAGACACAAAAGGTCATCGCTAAAGAGGCTGGCTGTTCACAGAGCTCAGTGTCCAAGCACATTAATAGAGAGGCGAAGGGAAGGAAAAGATGTGGTCGAAAAAAGTGTACAAGCAAGAGAGATAACCGCACCCTGGAGAGGATTGTGAAACAAAACCCATTCAAAAATGTGGGGGAGATTCACAAAGAGTGGACTGCAGCTGGAGTGAGTGCTTCAAGAACCACCACACACAGACGTATGAAAGACATGGGTTTCTGCTGTCGCATTCCTTGTGTCAAGCCACTCTTGAACCACAGACAGCGTCAGAAGCGTCTTGCCTGGGCTAAAGAGAAACAGGACTGGACTGCTGGTGAGTGGTCCAAAGTCATGTTCTCTGATGAAAGTAAATTTTGCATTTCCTTTGGAAATCAAGGTCCCAGAGTCTGGAGGAAAAGAAGAGAGGCACTTCATCCACGTTGCTTGAAGTCCAGTGTAAAGTTTCCACAGTCAGTGATGGTTTGGGGTGCCATGTCATCTGCTGGTGTTGGTCCATTGTGTTTTCTGAGGTCCAGGGTCAACGCAGCCACATACCAGGAAGTTTTAGAGCACTTCATGCTTCCTGCAGCTGACCAACTTTTTGGAGATGCAGATTTCATTTTCCAACAGGACTTGGCACCTGCACACAGTGCCAAAGCTACCAGTACCTGGTTGAAGGACCATGATATCCCTGTTCTTAATTGGCCAGCAAACTCTCCTGACCTTAACCCCATAGAAAATCTATGGGGTATTGTGAAGAAGAAGATGCAATACACCAGACCCAACAATTCAGAAGAGCTAAAAGCCACTATTAGAGCAACCTGGGCTATCATAACACCTGAGCAGTGCCACAGACTGATCGACTCCATGCCACGCCGCATTGCTGCAGTAATACAGGCCAAAGGAGGCCCAACTAAATACTGAGTGCTGTACATGCTCATACTTTTCATGTTCATACTTTTCAGTTGGCCAACATTTCTATAAATCCTTTGTTTTTATTGGTCTTCAGTAATATTCTAATTTTCTGATATGATGAATTTGAGATTTTCATTTGTTGTCATTTGTAATCATCAAAATTAAACAAAATAAACATCTGAAATATATGAGTTTGTATGTAATGTATGAATATAATATACAAGTTTCACTTTTTAAATGGAATTACTGAAATCAATCTACTTTTTCATGATATTCTAATTTTATGACCAGCACCTGTATAAACCCACAAAGCAACTTAGAGAGAAATTCAATTTTAATTGGGATTAAAGTCATTCAAATATCTTGTAATAAACTTGCCAAAAATAATTTCAATATTAGAGATAAATGATGGCCCCTCCTGGTGAATATTAAAGACGATATACACAGGTGGAATTCTATTTCTTTTCTTAGTCTTGGTCAAAGAATCGATTCTGTGAGAATCAATATTCTCCCATTTCAGGCACTCCCAGTAGAAATTCCCCAAAAAACAGTTTTCTGAACTAAATAAGATTATTTCACGGTTTATTTGGCCAGGTAAAAAACTTAGACTTAAGACTTTACAACTCCCTAAAGAGAAAG